GGCCTGTTTATATGGAGCCCAGTTACCCGGCTTACAATCCGATACATCGTTATTACATAAAATCCATCTATTCGAAGTATACACCAAATTACAAAGTCTTAAGCATCAAAAATAATAAAATGAATCGACGAAAGTTTCAAAAGGCGTATTTGATGTTTGTTTATGCTTTTACGTTATCATTGTTTAGTTTATAGGCTATTTGTTAGATAGAAGCATACGTGTTTAATACCTACTCTACTCGCCTAACCGAGTTTCCCGTTCAAACGTGATTACATGAGACATCCGAGTAACTCGCTTTGCCGAGATCCCGGCACAGTTTCCCGAGAACTCGGCAAGGCGAGTTACTTGGATGTCTCATGTAAACAGTCAAGCGAGTTAACCATAGAATTCATAGAACAGACGAGAACTCGGCGCTTTGAAGTTAATCACCTAGCCGGATAACTCGGCTCAGGCCCTTAAAGAGGCCCTTTTAATAGGCCCTTAAAGATAATGCTCAATGTAAATGCATGCATGATATTTAACAACTAATTAAAAATGTTTATTTAATTAAATGTAACCCAAGCCAACCTTTCAAAACATGACAAAACTGCTTCATTCATCGTGATCTTGAGGTTTTAACCGACAATACTGGTACATTTTAAACGCAAAGCAAAATGTTTGGAAAACATTCGTCGCGCAAATATTAATTTTGCATTATCAAATTCTTAGTAAACTTCTTCTCTTAAATAACAATCTTCTTCAGTAAAAAGCTTGACGATACATTAAATTGATTAAACATTGATTTACACAAGGAAAACTTTTCAAACATTTCTTTGTTTTGTGTCGGCTGAATAAATACTACGAATTCGTGGACGTTAATTTTTTTTTAAGGGAGTCGTTTTAGACTTAATTAACGTGTATCGAAGATTTTCTGAAGTTCTATCGTATATCAGAAAGCGAAAAAACGACAGAAGAACTTACATTTATATTAAAAATGCGGTCTTTCTAGGCTAACGAGCACACCAAAGTCACAGAATTGACATCTAACAGAAGGCCCACTCAGCTAAAATCGTGGCGTATTTTTCACTGCGCATGCGTGACTTCCCAGCAAGATACTTCCACAAAATCAATATGGAATAGTATTGCACGAGAATGATATTTTACTAATAATTCACGTTGAAAGGAAAAGTTTGCCGAAATTTCTACAAAATGTTATCATCTTGCAAAGACGATAAGGTTCCATGCTTTTGCAGTGCAAAACGATATATTTGTAAAAACATCTATATTTTCTATTGCGATCTAGGCAATCTAGCGGAATTATCTTACTGGAAGGCATGTCTCCTTAAAATTTGCCTCACAAAAGTAGGGGATACTGTCATCAAAGGTTCCGACACAAGTGGACCTTCTGTTAAGATATCTATTCTGTGCCAAAGTACAGACGAGCACTAGATGTAATTAGTCAAAAAATTGTGCTTAATAATATACAAAAGGGTGTCCAAAAAATCACCAAGCATTTAATTCAAAGGTAATTGACTCTCAAGGAGACGTAAACGCAATTGAATACAATAATGCAGGGTGTTCAGAGTGTGTCCCCCAAAAAGTAATGTAATCGCTGAAGTTATTATGCACAATAATGTAACTAGCACACACAATAGCTCTGCCCTTCTGTGGCCCGTTTCAAACGTCGCACTTTACATGAGCCGAATGCATTTAAAACAAAAGACAATTGAGGCATTTTATCTCATTTTCTTTTGTCTTTAATGCATTCAAAGGATGTAACATTCGCCGCTTGAAAATGGGCCTCAAATTTCATACAATTTGTACGATATTATACATAATATAAATCCTATTTGGATTTATATTATGTATAATCTCTCTGATGATGGCTTTGGAATAAAGTTGTACGATGTTAGTTAAAGCAAAACAAGTTAAAAGAGCTGTCATAAAATTTATCGCATATATACTTTGTAAAAACAAAGGAACACTAGCAATGGTAAGACAGCCACAAAAACATAATCGTATTTTTCTTGAGTAGCAACGAACATGGGCAAACACTAGCATTTGACTAAATAAACCATGCAGAATAAGTGACGATTGCGGACTAAATTATCTTATGCAGATTTCATTTTATTGCATACATAATTATTTGTGCAGGGGCCATATTTTTCGGGGGGAAACCCTGTATAACAAAAGAAGAAATTTGACGTACTGTAATAATTTCAATTCTATCACTATATGCTAAGCTCAAGGTTGCACAAAATATTGTCTGCAACAAGTACATGTATTACATATTTTTGTCACAAGCACAAAGCTTTTCTGCTCTTCAATACAATGATTGCATGAACTGTTTGCTTTCATCAAGATACTATTTAGTTAATGCAGCAATCGAATTCGGTATGCATGTATAAATCTGTGTTTCTTTCTGTGTTGGTGCTGCAGGTTGTGTTGGTGCTGTAAACAATGCTAGTTATGTAGACTATGTTGCTGATGGAGATTGTTGGTGATGTAGACTGTGTTGGTGATGTAGACTTTATTGAAGATGTAGATTGTTTTGATGTTGTAGACTGTATTGGTGATGTAGACTATGTTGTTGATGAAGTAGACTGTGCTGGTGATGTACACAGTGTTCGTGATCTGAACTGTGTTATAGTGTTGCAAACTGTGTAAAAATTGTATAAATTGATCGTTAGAAAAAATATGAGTATTTTGTGCGATTCCGTGGCCGGGATTTTTAATTAAAAAAATGACAAATATTTTTACTACAAAACTCTAATTTAATCGTTTCGACTCCTACTGGATCTTTTACGATAATTCTAAATACACCTTGGTTCTCTAAGTTAATTTCAGCTTCACCAGTGTTCTCAATGTCAGTTTCATGTTCACGCGAAGTCTTTAAATTAATTTCAGGGTCATCTACATTCTCCTTGTTAATTTCCGGTCCTCCTTCGTCATCCAAGTTAGATCTAGGTCCACCCTGCTTCTCCACGCTATTACTTGGTGCAACCTGCTGCTCCGCGTTAGAGCTACGTTCATCCTGATTCTCAACGTTAGTACTACGTCTATTAAGGTTCTTCATGTTAAATTCAGGCCTACTATGGATCTCTGCGATATGGCTCGATCTACCTAGGCTCTCCGGTGTAACTCCAGATTCAGTTTGGTTCTCAGCATTAGCTCAAGCTTCACCCATATTCTCACGGTTTCATCCAGTTCTGCCATGGTTCACCCAGTTTAGTAGAAATACTTGGTTAGCGACTACTTTCTCAGGTTCATCGTCAATATATAGAATAACAGCAAGGTAACAAAAAGCCACCGTGCAAATGATTGTAAGGGCTGTTATTCCATTAGAATGAGACTGTCGGTACCGAGTCTTGATATCATTGATCCATTTGCATGATCTTGATCGTAATGATGATGAAAGTAGTCAAAATTCATATCATATTTGAAGATGATTGAGGAAGACTAGAACTATTTTCAAGGGATTAATTTTTTCTGTAATTCCGTATCTTATTCTTGAGGAAAGGAGTAAGTGCTTTACGCGTTTAAGAAATGGCTGCGTAGAAGCATGAGACCACAAACACTATCCAATCACGGAAGTGGATAATACGAAAAACCCTTCTTAACATTCATGAAATCACTTTATTATGGTATCAAGAATGCTTATTAAGTGGAGACACTTAACATAGTGGTTGGTTAAAACATTAAAAAACACGTCCAAAAGTCTTTCATTAATAAATATAATGTGGGTTCATTCAAACGACGATATAGAACCTATACATGTTAACTTCCTGAGCAATTTCTTGATATTGGGACGACACTATGTCCATTTCTACAGATCTCGTATTTTGATACACCCTGTTTATGCAAGATCTACCAGTCACAATAGAAATATACTTCAGCAATATAATGTGAATAATGCAATAAACACCACATTTCAAGTCAACACGTTGTATCTTATAAGCGCCTTCTCTTTAAGCCTGCAGCACACGAGAGCTATGAGCTGAGCTAAAAGTTACTCGTGCCCGTTAGATCAGGCGATAACTCACTGTGTGCGCATGAATTTTACCTAGTTTTAAGGCTCATGCAACCTTTTCTCGCATATCAAGCATGCTTGATATTTTGGCCAAGATGTGAGCTAGATGCCCACATATAACCAATTAAAGGACCAATAGTGATGCGTCTTTTTAACTCGTAAACAAACAGCAAAATATCGATTACAAAGAGGTGATGAACGAATACCCATTCATGCTTTTACCCACTCAACTAAATATTTTCAAAAATTTCATCATGTTATTCCAAAGATTCTGTCACTTGTCTGCTTTAATTCCTTTGTGATTTCATCATAAGCAATTTAGCCTTTTTTATTTTAAAGTCTGGTGAACTTACATCAAACACACAGGGGAAATTTGGCCATAAGTTAATGAGTTTGTCAATGACTTAAAGTTGTCCAACATGTACTCCTCATTAATTCGTTTGTAGCAGTGGCCCATATTTTGATGTTTGGTAATGAGTTAACAGGACGCATCGCTATTGGTTCTTTAATTGGTTATATGTGATCATCCTGCTCAAATTTAGCGCAAACGGTGAGTTTTTGCCCCGCGTGGCCAAAAATAACAAACATGCTTGATATGCAAGAAAAGGTTTCATGAGCCGTAAAAGTCAGTAAAATTCATCCCCACACAGCGAGCTACCGCCTGAGCTAACGGGTACGAGTAAATTTTAGTTCAGCTGATAGCTCTCGTGTGCTGCAGGCTTAAAGCGTGTCGTGTATTAGACGTCTCTATCTAATAGGCATTACGATATCGTTATAACAAAGCGAGTTTTTGTCAAACCACACAGAAAGCAAACTTTGCTGTGCAACCTGCTGCCGTATAATCGATTAGATAACTAGCGGCCGTTAGTCTAGTCGGCTGAAGTGCCAATGCTCAACAAACTATGAAATTTTCAGAAATTCTTTTCACCATGTGGGATTTTCCCCACAACATGGCGACCAATGAGAACACTCGATACAGTAGAAGATAAAATTTCATTGGCAACTTTTAATACCTTTTTATTATTCAAGTATTTATTAATAACTACTAGATTACGAGCAGACTGGAAATCAACTTGTGACTGTAAATACGCAAGCAATAAACGAAACACATCTTGGATGCCATTTAGAAACAACATAAGCATTTAACATTTCTTTTAATTCATTCAATGCAAATGAATTAAAATATACAAAATATTAGGAAAAATTTTCATTGATGACTTTTCATAATTTGGCTTTGTCCAGTTTATTTACATCACAGTTTCCAGTTTTTTCTTTCAAGTGGAAGTTACAGCCAGATTTTCCATGTTAATTCCAAGTTAAGCAGGGCTTTCTCTGCTTATCACAGTTTCTTCCAGGTCATCTATTACCATTTCAGGTATAACAGGGCGTTCCAGCATAATTTGGGCTTTCTTTCTATTGCTAAATACAACCAGATTCTCCAAGTTATTTCCAGGTTCAAAAGAGCTTTCCTTGCTAAACACAGGTTCTTCCAGTTCATCTATTACCATTCCAGGTAAATTAGGGCGTTCCAGCCTAATCAGGGCTTTACCCAGATTCTCCATTTCAAACGCCACATTCACTCGAGGTGCATACGAGCTCGTCAAAAATCTAGATGTCTGCTCATCGCCCCTAAAAATTCTGGAAGAAAAACGATTGCGTCTCTCGATACTTTTCCACTTGTCCTCTATCTCCATTTGGCAGTTTATGCGCTCACGCTTTAATTCCACATTTACGCCGAATGTAACATATACGTAGCAAAAAAAACACACGACAGCGATAAAAAAATTGTTGACAAAGCCAGAAGAATGATTGCAACTACTACGATGTGTTCAATGACCCAATTCATGGTTGTTTGATGTTTTCAGAGTGCGATGATGCTGAAAGTAGTCAAACGTGTCAATGCTTGGTGTAAAACTTGAAGATTTTAAGCCAGGATGATTTTTTTCTGGATTTTCAGTCTTTAAACGTCGGGAGAAAAGAACTGGGTTTTTTTCGCAACTCTGGTACTGGTTAGATCTTGTCAAAATGCAGGACTTAGAAAGAAAAAATGTATGCACGACTTGAACTGGACAATAAATGAAACAAATTATTAGTTCTGGAATTACAAATTTTCATCATCGAAAAAAATATAATCCCCATTTTCAGAAGTTTGAAGATTTTACCATCAAAGCATGACGCTATCCATGGCTTCGCTCAACAGGTGCCTGTATTCGAAAAGTTAACTCATGCACTCATTAGGTGCGACCTAAAATCACTTTATAACTATTCCATGCAAGACGGTATTTTACTTTAATGATCACACGACTTGAAATATTTTAGCAAAAATCTATAGGAAAGTGAGTGAGTTTTTAGAATACAGGACTTAAAGGAAATGCTCAATTTAAATGCATGCATGACTTTATAAGATATAGCGGACCATTTTACAACGTATCAAAAATTTTTATTTAATGGAGCAACAGACACCAACCTTTACAAAACATCAGGTCAAAAGTCTTTCATTCATTGACACATTTTCATCGCAAAACAAAGGATATTTAGAAAACATTTGCCGCACAAATATTAATTTTGATTTATTAAACTCTTGATAAACTTTTTCTCTCGAATCACAATCTTCTTCAGCAGAAAGCTTGAAAATACATCAAATTTTATACAACACTAATTACACAAAGAAAACTTTGTTTCGTATCGGCTAAATTATCAGCTGAATAAGGACTACGAGTCGGCTTACGTTAAATTCTATTCAAGCGATTTGTTTTAGACTTAACGAGTATCGAAGATTTCCTGTATCAAAGATTACGAGTATTGAAGACTTCCTGTATCGAAGATTACGAGTATCGAAGATTTCCTGAAGTTCTATGGTATATCAGAAAGCGAAAAAACGACAAAAGAACTTACATTTATATTAAAACTTTGGTCTTTCTAAGCCAACCATCACACCAAAGTACAGATGAGAACCAGACGTAATTAATTAAGAAATTGTGCTTAATAATACACAAAAGGGTGTCCCAAAACTCATCAAGGATTTAATTCAAAAGTATTAGACCCTCAGGGAGACCTAAACGCCCATAAATACAATAATGAGGGTGTTCACAGTGTGTCTCTAAAAAAAACGGAGCACACATTAATCATGTATTCGCTGATGTCATTACGCACAATAAAGTAACTAACATGCACATTAAATGAAGTTTACAGCCCTGCTCCTCTTAGGCCCGTTTCTTAATCTCAAATTTATTGCGTATAAACTTTGTATTATCAAAGCGACATTAGCAGTTTTGGTGTTGTAGACTGTGTTGGTGTTGCAAACTGGTTGGTGATGTAAACTGTGTTGGTGATGTAAACTGTGTTGGTGTTGTAGACTGTGTTGGTGTTGTAGACTGTGTTGCTGTTGTAGACTGTTTTGTTGATGTTAACTGTGTTGGTGATGTAAACTGTGTTGATGTTGTAGACTGTGTTGGTGTTGCAGACTGTTTTGATGATATAAACTGTGTTGGGGATGTATGAACTGTATTGATGATGTAAAAGACTGTGTTAGTTTTTTAGATTGTGTTGGTGCTATAGACTGCGTTGGTGATGTAAACTGTGTTGTAGACGTAGACTGTGTCAGTGTTGTAGACTGTGTTGGTGATGTACACTGTGTTGGTGATGTAAACTGTGTTAGTGTTGTAGATTATGTTGGTGTAGGCTGTGTTGGTGTTGTAGATTATGTTGGTGATGTAAACTGTGTTGGTGTTGTAGACTGTGTTGGTGATGTAGATTATGTCGGTGATGTAGACCATGTTGGTGATGTAGATTATCTTGGTGATGTAGACTTGTTGGTGATGTAAACTGTGTTGGAGTCGTAGATTATGTTGGTGATGTAAACTGCGTTGCTGCTGTAAACTGTGTTGGTGTTGTAGATTATGTAGGTGATGTAGACTGTGCTAGTGATATAAACTGCATGGTGTTGTAGATTATGTTGGTGATGTAAGCTGTGTTGGTGTTGTAGACTGTGTTGGTAACGTAAATTATGTTGGTGATGTAGACTGTGTTGGTGTTGTAGGGACTGTAATGGTGATGTAAATTAGGTTGGTGATGTAGACTGTGTTGGTGATAAAAACTGTGTTGGTGATGTAGACTGTGTTGATGATGTAGATTGTGTTGGTGATATAAACTGTGTTGATGTAGACTGTGTTAGTGATGTAGACTGTGTTAGTGATGTAGACTGTGTTAGTGATGTAGACTGTGTTAGTGATGTAGACTGTGTTAGTGATGTAGACAGTGTTAGTGATGTAGACTGTGCAGCCATAAATATTGGTGAGCGGGAGGTCAACATCGCCCAATTGCTTACCCTCTACCCTGCCCCTGATAATATTCCTAAATAATGTCTTCGCCCACCTTTTTTATCGATATTTCTCATAGAGAATAATTATATTATTTCATATAAACAAGCCAGTGTAACTTACCCTGGATTTACACAACAGTGGCAGAGGTGTCACGAAGTCGTGGTAGCATCATTCATTGATGTAGAATTTTTTAAACTTGTGAAAAAAGTGCTCGTATTTTCTTTACATTAATAAAACTTGACAATTTTAAAAGCAATATTTTATTCCAGTAATTCTCCCAATCAAATCGTAGATATTCGCCCTGGGGATTTTTCAGCTATTCGTCCTTCGTGCAACTCAGACTCTTTATAGTCGTCACAAGCCAGCGTCGTACCCATTGATTCTCACTACTTTGGGCTTCTGAAGAAAATTTGCCCGACTTCAACTTGTATGTCAGTTGCACTATCCAGTGTATTATGAGATCTGTGGTCGTACCCAGGTGCTTTGATGCTTTAAACCGTTTGATCCAATTTAAATGCGCGTTATCTATGTGAAAAACGCGGCGGGCGACGACACGCGCGGACAAAAAATTGGAAAATCACAGGGAATCGTAACGGCTTGTAACAGCCACGCAAACGCGCGATGTCCACGCACGCCATATCAAATTTGTAGAACTTATAAATGCGCATTCAAATCAGTGATTTACATTGCATCAATTGGTACAAAGCATAAAAGCGCGTGGGTATGAAACTGGTCACACACATTCACAACGAGGAATACATCATTGTTACACATCTCTTCAGCTCATAAAAAATCATCAAAATTTTAGTAAAAGCCTGGGACTAATTGTATTCAAATTTATTCTTACTCAAGTCTCTAAATATTTCGAGTTGAATTCCGAGTTACATTACCTCGTGACTTGGTTAGGCAATACCTCGTTAGCAATTAATAATCTATCAAATGACCATCAATATTCTATCAAATGAAAAATAAATTTTCTATCAAATAATCATCAATATTCTATCAAATGACCATAAATTTTCTATCAAATAATCATCAATATTCTATTAAATGACCATAAATTTTCTATCAAATAACCATCAATATTCTATTAAATGACCATAAATTTTCTATCAAATGACCATCAATATTCTATCAAATAACCATTAATATTCTATCAAATGACCATCAATATTCTATCAAATGACACTCAATTTTCGATCAAATGACAATCAAGCATACATTGATTGCCACAAAGTATTTCTCGTTGCATTTCAAGTTGTTCCGTCATGAAGGAACATATTTCTACGCAGGCAATCAAAAAGAACCGCTCAGACTGTGTCGAGTAATGTTTGAAAGTGATGATTATCATTCACGTTAAAGCTTACCTTAAATTATGAGTATTAGAGTCATGCTTTGCACGCTCGAGACACCAAAATAGCGGCTTTTGTATATTAGGAGTGAAGTGTAAATAAAACGTGAATATCGAAGCATAAGAAAATTTCTTAGTCTTAACAACTTTGGTTGCACACTGTAGGGTGTAAAATATAAGTACAAGTTGTAAAAATGCCGTTTTATGTCAGTGGCGAAACTAGGGTCTATAGGCAACTGGTTAATATAGCTTGGAAGACGATATTTGAGAGGATATTTAAGGAAGGAAATGAATGAACGAGAGGTAACAACACAACTAATTCACACCACACAATGGAAATGAATCCTTGAAGAGTAGTTCACACAAGATAAACATTCAATCGCACTCTCCGTCTGATTCCATCAACTGTACACTTCATACGAATATCGTCGTACAAAAGCATAAACACGAAGCGCGAAAAGCATGAACCTCAAAGCTCATTCTTCAATGGACAGCCAGTTTATCCGATGCAAAGCTATAATTATAGCAAGAGAAGGATCCTTTACATATTAAATATACAATTAATTTGTAATGTTTTTATTCACTTTGTCCTAATGATACCGGATAAAACTCTTTCTTTGTAGTGAGTATTTCTTTATGACTCTCAGTTTAATATGTACAAACCTTAGCAGGGATGATTATTTTCTGTGACGTCATCTACAGCGAATGTATCGGACGGAACGCACATTACAGACAAAGAACACGAATGAAGTTATTTTGAAAATAAGTTAATATTCTTACATACATATGAACTAAGTTCAGAAAATTGTACATTCTGCAAGACTTCGTCGACAACGCAGTCCATTTTTGAACCTTTACCTTCAAACAACACCAACTGTTCTGACTAAACAAGCTCCAAGACCTGAGGGAGGGCAAAAGATGGACATCAGCAATGCCTTTGTCAATACAACAACTTAATGGTCAGCCTTAACGCGCAGTTGCAAGATCAATGCGTCATATAACGGAGACATGAAAATTCCACAAGATGCACAACACATCAAACACGTAAACTAACAAACAAGCATTTGTAAAAATATTCCGTCAATTTTCTATTTCTGTTATGTGAAACCTACTCATCTAGTGGCGTTGAGAGCTTAATCTTGCAAGCCGGATGGGGGTTCGCAAGCGCTAAAGTTGAGAGACCTCAACGGAGGTTCGGGTTCGGGAGCGGACCCTATTAAAAAATTTTTTGTACGCTCTTCAAAACGCTTTTTTCCCAAGCAGGTTTCATGATAAGCTAAAAACCACACGTTTTAAAAAGGCAGCTTCCATTTAGATATTTCACCAAGTGTATTCAACTTTATTTCATCGACATTGATGTTTGATGGTTTCTGTTAATAATACAGACTTTGCTTTCAGCACGTTTACAATAAGCAACTATTTAGAATCCATAACCAGCCGACAATCATATGATAAAGTATCATAAGAAACGTCCTCCGAATAAAAAGTTCCATGTTCAACATAATATTTGTCATCATAATTTGAAATAAATTCGAAATATTATTGTGTAAAAACTGTCTTTTTTCTTTCTCAAATATTGAGTTGAACATGGAACTTTTCATTCGGAGGATGTTTCTAACTATTTAGAAGGCTGTTTGAAATTAACTGACTGTACATCCCCAATTTCTCTTCAAGTTTTGAAATGTCCCTAAATTAGTATTTGGAATGCTTGAGGGAAGGGGGACGCATGCCCCTATTCTCCCAGTACCCCCTCCCCCATCAGCGACGCCACTGCTGCTAAGTAAATTTCAAAGCACTTCCAACATTCATTTCTACTAATATCGATATTGCATTAGCTTAATGCAAAATTCGCACGACATGACTTAATATACGTATGGAATTATTACGCCAATTATTGAGGGCAGTTCAATGATGAAAGCAAAAACAAAAATTGTTACGCAAAGCATACATGTGGGTAGCCTGAATTGACAACGAGATTTAGACAACTGACGTTTCCAATCGCTTGCAAATAATGCATTTGAATGACATCTTGAGTTATTTGGTCTTAGCTACTGTAAGTAAAACAGATGCAGGTTATTGCATTCCTTTAGTCATAGCATGAGATATATCTTTACTATGTAAGTTTCAGTTAATAAGTTCCAGTCAAAAAGGTTAAAAGCACATGATGTAAGTTCTTTGTTTACTTATGTATCCAGTCATTGCGAACAATAATATGGATAGAAGTCGGTTGGTCGGTCGGCCGTTTTCTGCTTTTTGGCAGTAGAACATAATGGTTAGCCAGCGAACAGGCTACCCACTAAAATCGAAGAATAGCTACAAGAACCACGTAATAACAATAACAAAATGGCCTTTCTTCACACAAAACAAAATGCTTGTAGTCCAAATCAACATCATCCAAAGTTCGTTTCTTACCTTGATAGTTCCCTGACTATTTGCAGCCACGACGACATTTGATCCCTAAACAATATGACAAAAAAATATTTTGGCATTTGCAAAAAGCGCGGAAGTGATCACGTGATATAAAGATGTAACTCACAGTTCTCCACGATACGGCGCTAACAAATTCATTGGCCTCTTCGTCTTTTTTTTCTCTTTCCTCAAAAACAAAATAATGAACTATTCAAAATAGCAGTTGAAAAAAATTTTCTATTCATAATCACAGGCTTATCGTGATCTAACAAGGTAACGATCCCAAATATTTACGTAAAAAAGGCGAGCTCCTTGACCTTGCATGTTAATCATAACTCTATGGTATATATGTCAGGTTGTATGAACACAAAATGCTAAAAATAAATGACAATTACCAAGACGCTTCGCACGGTGTCAAACTTGAACGTTAACAACTGTTTCGAAAGACCTTTGTAGTACAAGTAAAGCGAGTTATTTTCACTGCCTGTGGGTAGAAAATGTATAAGAAAAGTCAAAATAAAACACTCCGAAAGTCGGTGAATGCCTTCAACACTGGAATATTGGCAGCAAACATTTAAACAATAATAGAAATGGTTATTAACACTTTCTTGGATAATATTATGACACAACGGGAATCGTGAAATGCAATAAAAAAAAGATTGATTGAAAAAACCGTGCAGGAAAGGGTTACAGTGATATGTTCGACAACGACAAATCACGTATTAATGGCCAAATTTACACTACCAACACAGTCTACATCACCAACACAGTAAACATCATAAACACAGTCTACATCATCAACATAGTATACATCACCAAAGCAGTCTACATCACCAACACAATCTACATAACTAACACAGTCTACATCACCATCACAGTCATACACAACCAAAACAGTCTATACCACCAACACAGTGTACATCATCAACACAGTCTACATCACCAACACAATCTGCAAAACTAACACAGTCTACATCACCATCACAGTTTTACACAACCAAAACAGTCTACATAACCAACACAGTCTATACCACCAATACAATCTACATCACTAACACAGTCTACATCACCAACACAATCTACACCACCAACACAGTACACACCACCAACACAGTCTACACCACCAACACAGTACACACCACCAACACAGTCCACACCACCAACAACACAGTCTATACCACCAACACAATCTACACCAGCAACACAGTCCACACCAGCAACACAGTCCACACCAGCAACACAGTCCACACCAGCAAAACAATCTACACCACCAGCACAGTCCACACCACCAACACAGTCCACACCACCAACACAGTCTATACCACCAACACAATCTACACCACCAACACAGTCCACACCAGCAACACAGTCCACACCAGCAACACAGTCCACACCACCAAAACAATCTACACCACCAGCACAGTCCACACCACCAACACAGTCCACACCACCAACACAGTCTACACCACTAACACAGTCTACATAACCGACACGGTCTGCAACACCAACAAAGTCGTTGAAGAATTTACATTATAATAATGTTATTTTAGGGGAATTTGTAATGATTGTGTGAGCTGAACTCATAACACCAACTTAAAAGAAAAAATCTTCTTCAATAAGCCAAAAAAAACATGTTTTCAAGACAGTCAATGTACGTACCACAGGCAATATAGTCACCATTTGTTGAAAGACCAACAAAATTTTTCTCATTTGAATGTCCTTTAAATGTTCGTAAACAGTGTGGTTTATTTATATTCCATAGTTTCAGCTGACTGTCAGTTGAACTAAAAATATAATATTTCTTTATTAATGATGGGAATTAATGATATTGGAGACAATAACGTTAATTAAACTGTGTTGATGATGTAGACTATGTTGATAATGTAGACTGTGTTAGTGATGTAGACTGTGTTGGTGATGTAGACTGTGTTGGTGATGTAGATTTTGTTGGTGATGCAGATTTTGTTGGTGATGTAGATTGCTTTTGGTGATGTAAACTGTGTTGATGATGTGCATTGCGCTAATGATGTAGACTGTATTGAAAATGTAGACTGTGTTGAAGACCGATATTGGTGATAACTTTCATAATCCAAATTGTACAATAACTTACGCAGAGACGATTTCTTCGGCACTGACAAATTTAGCATAAGACACAGCCTTGCGATGACCTTTAAAAACTGTCAGTGGTTTATTGCTGTTTCGGAGGTCATAGTAATGAACACAATGATCTGCAAAACACAACACGATTATTCTTGATTTGCCTGCAATGTGGGGGTATAGGCAAGAATGCACTTCAATATGATAAGAGATCTTGTCTTAAGATATTAGTGGTCTGATAAAGTCGTTGTCAGAAAGATGTTTAGTGCTATGTTATAAATAGCCAAGTCCGTAAATACCCGTGCATGTGCGCAGGCAGTCAAAATGAACGTTGCCAGTGGCGGAACAAGCTTGATGATTGAGGGGGGGAGAGGGCACATATTCATATATGTAAGTTATATTCCGCAGAAAACAATGAATATCAAAAGAACTTCAAACGGCAGAACATGAATATATGAATATGTACCCCCCCGGCCAATCAACATGTTTGCTATGCAGAACTGCTCACAAGCAAGAAAGAGTATTTAACAAATAGATAACATTTAACCGTTGTCTATACAGTTATAGACACACGGGTATGACGTCAATTGTGATAAAAACTAAAAAAGGGCCACGAGCCACGGGGGTTGATTGATTGATTTGATTAAACTTTATTAAAAAGAGGGTAACACGTGACACAACAAGTGTGAAAAACTTGTGGCCCTCAAACTAACAAACTACGAGATAAATTACAATTTAAAAACCAGAATTACACAAGACTAAAAATACTAAAAAACTAAATAATAAATTATTCTATGAGCATATCTGAATTAGTTTTATCATAAAGTTTCTTTTTAAAAAGTGTAGCTGATGAAAGTTTACGCATAGTAAGAGGTAGACTGTTCCAAAATCGACTTGCAGTAGCAGCAAAAGATCGCCCACCATCATTTTGTCTCTTCGTTTTGGGTAAACAAATAGTTAAGTCTTTATAACGAGTATTTCTATTGTGGCGACTGGCATTTGTTGGTAGAATATCAATAATATAAGATGGACAGTTACCATAGAAACGTTTATGACAAATCATGGCCTTTCTAATTTCCACTTCCTTACTAAAAGGTATCCAGCCCAATTTGGAAAAGAGTGGAATACTTCTATCGCGTGTTGAGGCATCTAGAATTACGCGAGCTGCTCTCTTTTGTAATTTTGTAATTTGATCCAAGTTATCTTTTGTTGTATTTGACCAAACACAGCTACCAAACATCATAGCAGATTTAATAGTGGCATTATAAAACGCAATGCGTTCATCCAATGGTAGATAATATCTTAACTTTTTAAGAAGGCCAATTCGTTTGGCTAATTTGGAACATAGCTTATCAATATGGGTGAGTGGTTACTTTTTGTTTTTATCACAAATGACATCATACCCGTTTATCTAAAACTGTATAGACAACGGTTAAATGTTATCTATTTGTTTTATATAATAAAACCAAAAAAATTTCCGAAACTGTCAAACAGTTTGCTTTCTTTGTCTCCCAACACTTGGAACATTGAAAAGTCTTGATTTTGCAAATATCACGCTTACGTGATGTATAGGATTGAAGAGACGCTATTGGCTAGCTTAATCACGTGATAAAATGTGATTGGCTAACAAAATAAACAAGCAATGGCTGATCAATTTTGTTGAAATTTTTTTATCGAAGACGAAGTATAAATTAATGTTTGAAAACCAGGTTTTTTCTTTTCTTTTTGCACAAATACGTTAACTGCCTCAACCAAGTCTTTGTGAATATCTTTATTTTCCCATTCAGGGAGGTATTGCGATAAATTTTCAAATATATCCGCCATTTGTTTGTTTTTATAAACATGAAATTTTCTGTGACGTCAATTCCGTGTGTATGTCCTCTTATAGATCATAGCTCTCGACCAATGAAATTGCTCAAATTCTTCTGGTTATTATATAAAATAGAGTACCACTGGGACAAAATGCAAAAATAAAAATAAGATATAAGTTACATGCACAACAAAAAATAATAGTATATTTATTATCTAGAGGATCCTTCTGGATACATGGGCTGTCCATGAAGGAATGCATATAAGGCCTATGCTTCGAAACCTTCGTGTTTATGTTTTTTATACGGAAACTTTCGTATGAAGAATGCAACTATTAAAATTAGATAGAGAGTATGATTAAATGTCCATCTTTGTAAACTATTCTTCCCTTGCTGCAATTGTAGCTTTGCACCTGATCTTCCCCGAGAAAATTATCTAGTCGAATTGATAGGCTAAAACACTTTCCCTGCTCTGAAGCAACTATACAAAGATGGGGGAGGGGCTAAGCTTATCAAACCAAATCTAGTAGAAATGGCATGTGTGGCCATATTGAGCCTGTGTATATAGCAAGCCCATAGAATATTTCAGTCCTTCTCGGATTTCATGTATAAACAATTACTAAATAAGCTAGCGTTAAAAAGAGCGCGGCAAAAAATTGTAATTGTTTTCAGGAATGTTAAAAATTCTCTGGACAGCAATTTCAATTTCCGTGTTTGAATCCAAACACGGACATCGACCAATCAGAGCACGCATGACTTCATAAATAAACCTCCACATATAATCGCCACAAACCTGCCGAGCCGAAAGCCAGGTGATAGCGACTTTCAGGATTGAATTTGACGCAACACACGTTGGCCTTCGCCTCTATACACGAAACAGAATGTTCGGTGCCGGTAGACCATAATTTCACTGAAAATATACCAAAGTTGGGGATCATATTTTCAAAAATTGATAATAATACGCGAATTATCCTTGAACATCGTAAAAGATCACCAAAATCAAACCTTTCGCATCGTCGGAACCCGACGCAAGCAGCTTGGGATCGACGTGATTGAAGTCGACACTCCAACATCTCTTTTCATGTTCCTGTCATAATAAGATACAATGATGAAAAGCTTTAAAAAATAGGACGCGCCCGCGATACAAAGCAAAGTTGTCGTCGTTCTTGGTTTCGGTTAGGTATTTATTTAGCGTAAACAAAGCCAACTTTGCAAGATTTAAAAGGAAAGGTAAGAACCGCGAAGTGCCGTTACATGTTTGTAGATGTAGATCGTCTAGGTGGGTGAAGTACTGAGAACGACATTGGTGTTAATGTTGACTGACGTTTCGACAACCTTAGCACTGGTCACCTTCATCAACATCTACAAACATGCAGCAACCGAAGGTAACGTGAAGGATTGTTTCACGCACTAGTGCTACGAATAACACGTATAAAGAAACACGATTTGCTTTCTCGCGGGTGCTACCCGTCTACCCGAAGCTTCTTTGCAACTCTGGTGTCAAATACAAAGTGTCGTTCAACACCATTCAGATGTACTTAGTGTAACAATTACAAAAGGAGTCACTTTAACAAAAGTAAATTGATGCAAATAAAGCACCTCAAAAGGTGTTATTTTTGCTATTTTCATTTAACACTTTTGGTGCGAAATTGACACATTTTATTTCATACTGCGAAATTCACGACAGCACAAAGATCATATACCTGAAACGAGCGATTTTTGGCTCCTGTAAAAGCATCCCATAACGTGACGGTACCCTCGTAGTCACTGCTTGCTAGTAAACCTTTGTGATAAGTGCTCCAGCATGTTCCGCTAAAAAAACATTTATTAATGTAAAAGCCGTAAAATGCGTGCGTGTTTGGTCTATAAATGAGTTTTTTGAACAAAAAACCAGGAGCGGATCGACGCTCATTTGAGAGGAAGGGTGCAGATTTTTCAACGGGTTGCATCATTGTCCTAGCTAAAGTTGCAAGGGCCTCGGACTATTGTAGATTTTTAGGCTTACAAATATGTAATCGAAACTTGCGCAACTGAAGTGTTATTAGCTTTTTAAGAATTTTTTATTAAGTATGTATATAATGAATCCTAGTTGTATAGCTGAACAGAACTTCCACAAATAATCAACAACGCTTCATAAAATACGTATCCAGCTTCTTTCACACATGAGAAACAAGTGACAACAAAATAAAGGGCAAATTGAGCTGGCATGACAAAGTAACTTCTTACTTTGCGTTTAGAAATTTATTTCAACTTTTAATGTTTCAATGAAAACGCACATGCTGGCAACTCAATTGCAAATGGTCGAAATATAAATTACGTTCCTGCCTTTGAAATAAGTTCCACTTTTTGCTCAGCCTTACTGTACAATTTCCTAGCCTCTAATACTATTATAATAACAGTCTACAAAAAGTAATACAATTTTAGATATTTTCTAGGGGTGCTAGAAAACTTAAGTGAGGTGCACCCCCCCCCAAAAAAAAAAAAATCCGCCCCGCAAAAAACAGCGAGAACGAAAACGAAAACATCTACTTCTCAAAGAAAAATCTAATATATTCACCTGATCTTTGAATTACAGACCATTTCAATAACAGGATAATGTACGTCAACGACATCGCGAATGACAACTCCGTATTCGAATACCTATTCAACACAAATTGAAAAGCGGGAACTTACTACACTTTCAGAAGCTTTCAATTGACTATGAATCTCTTTTCAACATACGTCAACACAAATCCCCTCCCCCCAGAATGCAGTGATTCCATATCTGAAGAGCATTTTGAAAAGCATTCCGCCAAGATCAGATCTATGAATCTCGCAAATCTCGTTTTTTAGTATCCAAATTGGATACTAAGCCAGTGATACATAGTATCAAAAATTAAAATCTGGTATCCCGTGGATAACGGGATAACGTAAATTTCAAGCCCTGTACATATAGAGCAATCATAAAAGTAATGTCTACGTTTATTAAGCCCACCTTGATTTTCTTCGTCACTCCAGCGATCGCAAAATAATCGTTGTCGCGATCAAACTCGATGCTAAAATGACAGAACACTCAAAATTCAAAAACGATCGGAGAAAACAAAACTATCAAACTTGTGTCAATGCTTAGCAGTAATGAAGCATCCATAAGTTTTAAATTGAACGGCAAAAAGTTAATTCCAGTACTACTAGTAAAGATGGAAATGCCGTTGTTCGTATTGGAATGAAAAATGCTTAAAGTTCCTAACATTGACCTGTCAATTACATGGTTCGTGCATTTGAAGCCAATTAATTAGATGGAGCAACATATTAAACAGTCACATATAAATGAGAATACTGTTCTGAAGAAAGTGGTATTTGCAACGGTAGCAAGGAATTTTGGAGTGCATTAGAAGAAGAGCTTGGTCTTAAGTCCTAATCGCGTCAATTTAGTAAAGTTGGACTGTTCAATATGGCGCCAATATAGTCTTTTGTTTGTTCGAGTTTCCGAAGCAGAAACAACAAGATTTACCTGGAAACGATGCTCGAGCCATTATGAACTTCACTGGCGTAGCTTAGTGTTGCCAGGGGACGAAATCCACTGAAACGTGTAAACTTCGACAAACTTTCCGTAAAAAATTCCAGTCCATCCGTGACGTCAGAGCCTCCTGTAAAGAAGGAATAGCAAACAATACAATACCATAGTATATAGGAAATATACAGCAGGTCCACTTCACTGTGCAGCTGGCTGCTGAATATTCAATTAGCTTTAAAAATAACAACAACATTTGCTCTTAAAATATGTCTTATCTCTTAACAAATTGACTTTCTTGAATCAAAATTAATTGAGCTCTACGCCGCAATATAGTGAGTTTACAGTAGTTCCACTTCGCTATATGTATTCACAATACGTGGTTACATACTGGAGTACCCTGAAATGTATACAATGGTAAATGTCCAAACCTACCCGGAATTTCACCTTGTCGAATGGCAAAATAACACTTTTCGAGATCGTCGAAATGCTGATGAACTCTTTTCCGCCTTGCAGCTAGAGTTGCACTCGACCAAAGGTGTTTAGCACCCTAAACAAGGAAAAAGTAGCGAAACCACATGAACAGCTTGTGTTATATATACAGTAAGTAAATTAGAGACACGCCGGCGGCTAGACCCCTTCCTCTCCCAATAAATCTGCCTTTATTTTGAATTTTAAAATTTGTCTCCGGATTTAAAATACCCAGTACCACCAACCAATACCCAGCATCTCTAACCAAATAACCATTATCTCCAAGTAAATATCAAGTACCACCAACCAATACACCTAGTATCACCAACTAATACACCCAGTATCTCTAACCAAATAACCATTATCTCCAAGTAAATATACCCATTATCTAACACACGCATCCCTGAAACTTTCAATGTCTTCCAACTTACATGTTGACTACCATTGAAGCCATCCTGTGGTAACTCATTAGGTTGCACGGAGTTATTCATATCGGAAGCACAACTGCTAAATAACGATAGAGAAAATTTGAGGATCACGTTCATCGCCAAGATCACTACGTAAGATATCTTACTACAGTCAAACCTTTATTAGAGAGCTTTAGCAAAGACTACGAGTACGACTACGAGTACGATTTACGTCACTTTGGCGCGAAAACATTGTTGCGACAACAAAAACACGTAGCTATCATCAATCTGAGTACGATGTTTTGTAAAAAATTCGTAGTCGCGACTACGATGTCTTTTTAAGCAAAGAAAGTAGGTATATTTCTTCATTCTGTAAGAAATTAGTTTACAGTACTATTTTCCAGCATCCAAGCTTTAATTTAGGACCTTTTTTGAGCGCAGATGTACATTAAAAAGGAAAATATGACCTGCAAAACTTTCATGTATTTCGTACGCAAAGTGAAAGGTAAACAAACAATAAAATAGTATAAATATATCGTACATAAAACTTAAAATAGTGAAGATTTTTCAGTCTAAAGACTCCTATATTCTCGCAAAATCAGTATTACCGATTCCTTGATATCATTATTGACAAATAGAGCCGTAGCTGCTTCGCAAACTTCTGTGTTTTACACAATAAAAAGGCTCGTTCTGTTGCTTATAGCTAAAACTAAATTTTAACGAAGCGACAAGGACAACAAACCTCCTCGTGCCATTCTCTTACACGGTCAAACTTCGTACTCGTTGTCGTAGTCGTACTCTTGCTAAAGCTCCCTATTAAGCGGACACCTTCGGGGAACGGACTAGTGTTTGCTTGATGGAGATGTGCGATTGATAGAGGTTTCATTATTAACTATATGAGATTAAATGTGGAACATAACGAAGTGTCCGCTTAATAAAGGATCTCCGCTAAATACAGGTTTGACTGTACAAGCAAAAACAAGTTCACGCTCATACTTCATGGAGCCTCATTGCAAAACAATAACATGGACGATGGAAATCATGGATTTTGTCGGTGGAAATTACGAGAAACTGTCAAAAACAAGTGGTGGATGCACAAAGGAGGGGAGCAGAGGAGAGAGAAAGAGTCCTTTTCTTTTTGTTAACTTCAATAGCAGAATATTAGTTATGCTAAACTCATTAGGGCATTGCACTCATATCCAATGAGTTCTACACATAGATATGTATAGTAAACTAGATAGATCATTGCAATACAACGCCCAATCAAAAAATTGAAAACAAAGTAATCGGGTTCTTATATTGTTATCACCTGATTACTAGGTCCCACTCGAGGAATGAAACAAAACTTTAATATACGACAGAACTATGATGACGACGTATTTGTGTTATTTTTGGAACTTAGCGCCATATATAAACATAGCAGATTTTATGGAAATATGATTAATATTATGATTACTTTTTCATATCAAGTGGGACTTTCCAATATGGCGGCTCTGGCTTCACAGAAATAGCGGAGTGCGATACCCAGTCTATTCTAAACATGCAGAGTTCATTTTAATGCAAACATAATAATTTGTGTTCTACTTGAGTTTTTTTGAGACATCCTGTAGATACATCTTAAAGTGAATGATTAGAGTACAGGAGTATCGTTATAAATTTATAGATATAGACTTGTCCAGGTTGGGGGAGTACCGAGAGGGACTGTCGGTGTTGACTGACGTTTCGATAACCTTAGTGGTAGACATTTGTCTCTGAGGATGACTACCGCTTGTTGAACGTCAGTCTACACCGACACTAACACAAACACCAACAATTCTTCTTGCAACTTCACTTACCCGGACAATACCTACATTTACAAGCATAAAAAGATGCATCCACGATGATTTATTTCAAATCATACTTTGAGTTTATTAAAATTAGAATCTGTTCGGCGTCGGTGTAAGCAGGAATTCAGTGTTACACACAAAAAATAGCACTCGTAAATTTTACCTTGCTGCATCTTCTTCTAGATTGGTGGGAAATGATTTCACCGTTGGAGTGGTTGGTACAGCGTGATACTGATCCTTAAAAATCCAAAAACAACCATTCTGTATCCCTCTTGTTTAACACGTTCGTATATTTCACAACATTCGTGAATATTTCTTACCAATATCGAAACGTGATGACTTTGGTGGACGGCTATGATATCCTATATGTGAAACATTTTAAGAAGATGTTTACTGTGTATACACACGCTCATGCAAACCGAGGAGACATTTTGGGAGAACTCGAGATGCGATCAGTGCAAGCCCGACACCGAGAATTGCACCTACCCGACCATCTACAACGAACCGCGTTGGGTGCACTAATCGCGCTATTTTTACGTTATATTAAGTTCAACCAACAGTTGTACGTCGATCAGTCTCCGCAAAAGATCCCGAGGCACATTTCAACTTACGGGTAAACAACAACCGGGAACAAAATGCCGGGATGACGTACCTCGACTCTTCTTAAATCGTCGTCAATAAGTTTCACTTCTTGCGTAAGTTGATCTAGTTGCTGAAAAATATATGATATCATTAGCGGGCGGACGAGAGACAATGTACAAAATTAGTGATGCACCGATGTAGGATTTTGCCTATATGCCGATTAAGCGACATTAAAATGACGATATTGTGACGATACCGATATTTTATGCCTATTTACGAAACTTACACATCATAAAGTATGCTACTTTGTGCCTCACCAGTGACTGTTCATTTGATAAAAAAAAAATATAAAATTCAAAGTGGTTATTTACATTGCAGTCAAACTTCACAGAACAATTGTCAAAGGAAATTGATATCAAGTGGAACTAACAAATTTTAAGTAGTTTTAATTTAACAAAAATTGTTAAGGTAACAGTGTTCTATTGTTAAACAATGATTCATTTTAATTGTATTTCTATTTGAATGAAATGTCTAAATATCTGTATTATGAGCAAGAAAAATACCGATAATTTTATGTTAGAGAAGATACGCCGCGACTGATATATAGATATCGGTGCATCACTAGTACAAATACAACAAATAGATAAACGAAGAAACAATGCAGTAAATAGTGAAGAAAATGACATCGTGTTGAACATGATAAGGTCTAAACTATGATGAGATAATCATGGAAATTGGTGATGCAAATTTATTGCCAAAGTGCATATGAATTTTGCATTTTGTGAACGAACTACGTTGAACATAGATTGCTCTAGGTAACGTTTAAGTAGAATTTCATTTAGAAACATTACTATCTATCGTATGAATTTTCTAGTAGCGAACTAGCCGGCAAACTTTGTTGATCGCGTTATATGTGAATTTAAGACATCAGCTATCGTTACACATTTCTTTAGAAATCTATCGTTTTTTACGAGATCAAACACAGAAAAATTTACGTGACTGAACCAAATTTAGGGGCTGGCTAAGCGCACGGAAATTTCCTCACCAACCTCTTGTTTATGTCTTTTGACTTGTTTCAAAAAATCTTTCAGTATCTCATTTTGTGTGGCAGTGCTGTCCTGAGTGAAAGAATTGAAACATAAAACATCTATTACTGAGAGGAAAAACAGTTCATTAAGTCACTTCCATTTTAATTTCTTGGCTAACTACGAACGTTTGCAAACACGACAAATTTGAGAAAAAAAACAACAAAATTTATCATTTTAACACAAATCACAAGATAATTGCTGTTCCCAGTTAAATGATATTTTTAGAATGAAATTAGGGATGAAACATTGCCCAAATTAGGATAGCTTCGCCATATCCCTGGTTGTACTTGTTTCAATAGTTTATACTCAAAAAATCTAACCAAAACACCCTTAAACTAGGGCAGCTTTCTATATTTTGGGTAGCAATTGTTTCTGTTATTTACACACAGAAAATTTGACTAAAACACTCTCAAACTAGGACAACTCCCTATATCCCTGGTTGTACTTGTTTCAACAGTTCATGCGGACCCAGATAATCTAATCAAAAACCCCTAAAACTATGACGGCTTCCTATATCTCTGGTTTAACTTGTTTCTATTGTTAATCACGGAAAATCTGACCAAACACTCTCAAACTAGGACTGCTTCTTTCAATTGTTCATACACAGACAATCCAACCACAACGACCTCGAACTAGGACAGCTTTCTACGTCTCTGGTTGAACGTATCACTACAGTTTACACACAGAAAACATAAACAGAACTCCCTCAAAATAGGACAGCTTCCAATGCCTCTTATTGTACTAGTTGCTATTACTTATAAAACAGTAAAACCTTTTCAAAACACAACAAAACTGACAAATCTACCTATACTTCTGATTCTCTTTGTTGATACTAATGAATACCTAAAAAACACACTCAAACTACGGCAGCTTCCTGCGTACATCCCCAGTTGTACACTTGCATATTTTAAGGGAGCCACACTAAATCTCGTACTTGTTCTCGTTTGCTAAAGCTTTCGAAGGAAATTTGAAGGGCAAATGATGAATCAGATTGTTTACCGCTTCTAGTTGGTATTTTCTCACTGACAATATTTCCAATAGCGAATTGATATCTAAAGGTGAAGAAAACCGATGAACTTTTCTTCATCAACAGCAACAGTACAACAGCAACAGTACAACATAACGGACAACTTCCGTCCGTCCTGTAGTTATCAAACAAGACAGTATAGGTTCAAGTTAAAAACAGGTTTGTTGCATTACTTCCAGACCCGTCACAAGTATTACAACCTATCAAAATCGTCATGACTAATCCAAGATTACTTCAAACATAGACGGACGTTGCATGCAGGCCAACAAGATTCATATTACCTGACACTTTAAGATTCGAATCGCCGCATACAATTTCTTGAAGTTCCGAAAAATTAAACTAAAAATATGAAATTAAAAAATGAAACTCAAAACACTCCTAGCAATAATTATTTCCAACAATCGTTTCAGAGTTAAAATCTACAACATAAAATGTTAAGATTAACAGTTGCACAGGTTGCGAATCCTGTTTATATAGTCTCCAAAATTTAATAGAAATCGATCTTCAAAGATGGTGGACTAGGTTATGAGAGATCGTCTCAATTCTACCGTATGTCACGAGGATTTCAACACGGTGTACTTTGCTATCACACAAAATTAACGCTAGAAATTTCAATTTGTGCTTCAATCAGGTAACAAATAGAAGCTATTTACAGCTACAAAGTATATATTTTCTTTAGTATAATTAAAGCCTGCAACGATGTAAGTACCAAGATCATGTCGCTGCATTTGTGCCATTTAGATAGCTCAAGCTACTTTAAAACTTTTACATGTTTGAAGACGTAGATTGTCCTGCTTAGTATAGTCCTGAGAAGGACTGTTGATGTCGATGTTGAATGACGTTTCGACAACCTCAGCGGTAGTCATCTTTGGTTTCAATTGTGGAGTAAAAGTCAGATTCGCCGAATTTGTTGTCTGGTTCATACGTCATCTTATTATGTGTAGAGTAAATGAGTGGTTTTGACGTATGAACTATACAAAAAATACGGCGAGCCTAACTCTTACTCTTCACTTGACTCTGAAGATGACTACCGCTGAGGTTGTAGCAACGTCAGTCAGCAATAACACAAAAAGTCTTTCTCAGAACTTTAAGCACCGCACTCAGAATCTAAAATGAGGAATTTCGTCACATTATCTTGTGTATTTAATGTATTCGACACATGTAAAGTTCGATGTTTGAAACGGGCCATATTTAGCACCGTTCACGCCTAATCGCCGCAGCATTCAAAATCGGAAAAATCAAACAAGCACCGCCGCGCTAAAGCGAACATTAAAAGTAACGCCAAGTTCAATTACATAGAAGAAAATTTATCAAAAAACTAATGTTTACGCTACATACTTCACTTAAAGGTTGATTAATTTGCATGTTCCTTCCAACTCTTTGCTGTTTTCTTTTCAATATAAGATCATTTACTACAATTTAAAAAGAAAAAACCTTCGATGTACACTACGTATTCATCAGACATGGAGTATATACGTAATTTTAAAATTTTGCTCTACAGTCGAAGATGGATCCACGATAGTTTTGTTGCAGGGTATAACACCTTTATACTAGATTGGTTAAGATTTGGGTATCTACATGTTCTCATGACATGTCAGATATCTTTCCGTTTAAGTCTGCTACTTTCTATTATAATTGGGATATTATTATAAGTGTGCTCGTAAAACACTAATTACAACTGATTTTTCTCATCTGTTCTGTAATTTAGAATTTCCTAGGAGCTTTGATTAGCACCCCTCCTGCATCCCTTCAAGTCAAGGCTGGGGCATCCCTTCTGCAACTCCTACAGTAAAGGCTAGGGGGCTCAACCTGTCTAGTCAAGGCTAGTGGGCATCCTTTATGCACCCCATACAGTAAAGGCTAGGAGGTTCCACCCGCCTGCATCCCATGGGCAAGACTAGGGGAAGGTCACCCCTTCAATAAACCTGACCCTCTTCTACAGTCAAAGATTTTATAATTTAAGAAAGTACACCTGAATGCCCACGTAAATAAACCTCGAACTGAATAGTTGAGGAAATGCAAGGAATTATTCCAACACTTACAAAGGAAATTGGGAAAAATCTGATCTTGCTTGTCGATAACAAAGTTACATTTTGGACATTTGTTGCTTTCTTGGAGGCTTCGACAAATACACTTGTAACTAAATGACAGAAAAAAATTACTGATACGTCACATCAAATGTTAACTCAAGTCAAATGGTGAGAGTCCTTACGATATTCGATGAAGTTTAACATGTTGGTCAAATTTTGATTCGATAATTTTATAATATCAATAATTAATAATGATACAACGTATATGTTATTATTGATGGATAAACTATCAAAAACATTTTTTTCATGAACTACAGTTATTTTTCATTAGCCATTGAATATGATTGTATTGGTACAAAAACATGCCCCTTTTGGAAATTAACTTTGTTCGATGAGGCCTGATTTTCATCCAGTCATTCATTTACTCAATGCATAAATTTTATGGCAAATTTATGCTGGCTTCAACACAAAGTTAAAGCTAAACAATGCCAAGTTGCTAGATTTCCTCAATTCAAAATCGATGCCATTACTAACTATGCTGGATGTGATTGTAGCCAGACTACAAACAGAATCTTGCTTGACTAATACAAATTTCAAGCATAGATAAGTAAAAACTCAAAAAAGATAAAATTTAGCTCTTGTGCATTTCTGTTAGTCATAATCCCATTCTTTGAATTTTGACTTAGCATTTTCTTCATAATTGCCTACTTGGCTTCACAAAATTGAGAAGATTCTTTACAAATTGCAAAGTTTGAGCAGTTAAGTTGCACCCTGCAGCTTATACTTTGATAGAATTATATTGAAAAACACCTGTATGTGGTAGGCAAAATTTTTATATCTGAGGAAATTCATCATCGATGGCATTGTTATGAGCCGTTTGAATTCAACTGACCTACTATGTTTGAATTTGTGGTGCCAGAATGGTATTATTTATTTACACTCAAGGATGGCAGAAGTGAGGGGTAGTATTTAGATATGTGTGTAAATAACTATTACATTCTATTGAAATCAACTGTGACTGCAGATTATATACTATCAAAGGACAATCAGAGAAGGAACCCTGGAACCAAGGAAGGAACCGTGGGCACAATAAAATTTTGGAGTCCTTTCTCTGTGTCCCACAGACACACATTACAATTCCCTTTCCTTTGCTTTGTTTAAATAGAAAACTGGTAGTGGTTAGCCAGTTTAACAAGTCTATTGGGCAGAAAATTGCAATTGAATTGCAGCCACAATAATCATAATGCATGCATAAGATATGTGTCAAGCAAAAAAAGATTTATGCATTGGCCCGGCTACTTATTCCCTATACTAGGATCATTTGATAATACAGATTACAGCTCGGGACCTTTTCACTTCACCAAAAACTATTTCCTAGGCACGGAAGAAGATTTGAAAAATATAGCAAAAGCCTTATTTCCCAAGTACGCATTTCAAACATAAATAGAGCTCAAATGAAAGCAAATATGACAATGATCATACTTTGTCCCCAAATTAGTAGACAAATCATTTTACTTTTTCCTCAAAATTCACCATAGTTTCCTAAAGAAGTCATCAATATATTAACTTAAAAAAACAAGTATTGCTTGTTTGGGTATGTATTTGGAAAGATTTTGTACCCACAAGCATGAAACCCTTAATTTCTCCCACAGAGATAACACAAGTTTCCCAATCCCCCAGGTTGGAGAGAAAAGAGAAGTTTTTTATGCCAAAATGTGTATTCAATATATTGTAGATAAGTACACTGCCAATTGTTTTGTTTGTCTATAAACATTCTTTTTTTATGGACAACGGCGTATAAACACATGAAATGTCTGAGCAGAAGGAAAGAGCGACTTAATAAGACAATTATCTCAAGTAACTGGTCATATTCCCTTGGTAATAGGTCCATTTCAAAACGATATAGACAAGTGCTGTTCATTAGATGCATCGCGTGCATGTCATGTAACTTCGATAAAAGCGATAAAAATTTAATCTTTTGTCGTTTCGATGCTTGAGCATGAGATTAAGGCAAATTATAGCATCAAAAATTGATTTTGTCCGTATTTATTGAGTAGAAGCCGTCATTTTAGTTAATATTGAATAACTCAAAACACATTGACACTCACCAAAAGCTGTGGCCACACTTAGTCATATGAGCCTCTTCAATTGTATCAAAACAAATCGGACTATAAGGGAAAGAAGATATACTTCATTATACAAATACTTTACGTTCAATACGCTAGTTCTTCAAGTACATTAGAGCGTTTGCAGGGTGTTTTATAAAGCATATAATAAAAATTCATAACGGAACTCGCTTGCAAATCTCATATTCTCCAACGCAAAGCTTGCAAAAGCAAAGAGACATACCACACAAAATCGCTGTCCTTGTCGCTAAAGGAGTTTAGTATACCATCATGAATAGGTGGATGAGGTCTCTTGCGCCTTCGGCTGCTCGTTGCTCTGTCACCCGCCGAAGCCGACATGTGCGTTCAAGACGGTGTCTGTCTCCAACAACCAACTTAATTCAAGCTTGTTCAGTTCATGTACAAAACATCCCGCATATTTTAAAGTAAACGAAGTACACTTCAGTTTTGCCTCTGTTACATACAAATAAACATCAGGTATCCCGTGAAGTGTTCTTGCTCAACAAGGACAAGCAAGTTCAGTATCCGTCCAACTGCAATACTGCAATTTGGCAACGAGAACAGAGAGCTATGCTTTCACCTCCCACGAGCTTTGGAGTTGCATGACGTCACTTTGGTGACGTCACTTTGTTTCTGATAACCACATAACCATGGCCCATAACCTTGCCCTTGGCACACTTGGAGCCTCTTATATTATTGTCTTTGTAGAAAATCAAAAATGGCTGGCTTTTAAGTAAAAGAATTTAAAAACATCGATGGGAAGAAATCGACGGAAAGATATTGCACTTAGTCGGATTGCACTTCGGCAAGTCACAATGTCACTATGAACTCTTCGAACTCACGATGTGTCACGCTGAGTAAATCATTGATGCAAATCCCTGAGAAGATTTAGAATAGTTAACCTTGAATTGTTGACCTCGCTGTAAATCATATGACGCCTCGGCTTCCTTTCTCCACTTTACCAGTCTCCCTTTACGCAGACGGCAACGTCTGTTAATTTGATTATTCACAAATTTTTCAATGTTCTTGCTAGCGCTCTGCATTGCACTTTTTCAAATTGAACTTCCAAACAGAAACTATAACTATAAATATCAATCACGGTAATAATTTAAACTTCCGCAAACTCTATCTATATAAAGCAATTTCACTTGCATGTTTCAAAAGAGAATAATCTGAACAATTTGTTAAAATGCGCCTCGACTCCACAGATTCTTCAACACAATATGTAGTTCGATTTCTTTGACAATATAGGAATAGTAACATTACAATATTGATAGCCTGCCTTTACATCCTCAATTCGTAATTTTATTATTTTTATATTCCATAAATGTGCTTGTTGCAGTAATATTTGAATGAAGATATAATCTCAATTTCAAACTCCTCCTCCGTAACTGGACACCCAGACAACCCACAGTAACGAACTGCATCACTCAGACGAAAGCGCTCCTCAAAGTTCTTCGAGAATTCATAAAAAGATATGACTCTGTTAAAAAAGAAAATGTTTTATTTTCCATTTTTATTTTTTTATTCTTAATGGATTATGGAAATAAATGGACTCTTTCAGACACAAGGCAAACAGGAATGGCAGTATAACTTTCAAGACTTTCGTACTAAAAAGAAAACTGTTTTATCCTATATAAATGTTAAGAAATAATAATACTGTCGAAAAATAATCGCACTCGGCTGAGTTGTTCTCGGGAATAAATTATACATTACAACTGAAAATCACTTCCACACGTATTAAACTCCACTTAAAAAGCTCAACAATGAAATATAGACTTAACCGATAGAAATTTGCGCAATTTAATAGATTAATCAGCTGGTATTTCTACAACCGTCTATTAGTACAACGACCGTAAATGGCAAACGCTAGACCATGCAAACGGGATAAAAATGTGTGTGAACGTGTTTTTGTTAATATTATGGAATCCACGCGTAAATGATCCATAAAAATATACTTTATAGCTTCTGATTAGCGGCGACACGAACAAACCATTTTACAAAACTCGAATGATGCCCAAAACACTGTCAGTTTCAAATCTTAATTTACAACAAAGTTTCGTGAACAAACTTCATTGTCATCATCGGGCGTAATTGTCTATAATTCGTCTTTGTCTTCTGGTTTCTCTTCACCACCAGCAGCGCCCTCACCACCTGGTGGAGGTGCACCCCCGGCGCCCTGATATAGTTTGCTAACAATTGGTTGAACGATATCCTCAAGTTTCTTTTTCTCGGCTTTACAGTCCTCGGCATCGGCATCCTTGTTGCTATCCAACCAGCTGATGGCATCCTCCACAGCCTTAGAAACAGTCGACTTATCATCCTCCGAAAGCTTACCGCCGAGTTTCTCTTTATCACCAATTTGATTCTTTAAAGAATACGCGTAACTTTCGAGTTCGTTTCTCGATTCAACTTTTTCTTTCACCTTTTTGTCCTCGTCCGCATACTTTTCGGCATCGTTGATCATTTTCTCTATATCTTCGGGAGTGAGTCGGTTTTGATCGTTCGTAATCGTAATTTTCTCTTTGTTTCCCGTGCCCTTGTCTTCGGCAGACACTCGGAGAATGCCGTTCACGTCTATTTCAAACGTGACCTCTATCTGAGGAGTACCTCGCGGAGCTGGGGGTATACCAGTCAAATCGAATTTGCCCAAAAGATGGTTGTCTTTCGTCATTGGACGCTCCCCTTCGAAAACTTGAATGGTTACCGTGTTTTGATTATCGGCAGCCGTCGAGAAGATTTGCGATTTCTTCGTGGGAATAACAGAATTTCTGGTAATAAGTTTCGTCATCACGCCACCAACAGTTTCGATACCCAGAGTAAGTGGGTTTACATCAAGAAGTACGACCTCTCCGACGTCTTCCTCTCCGCTGAGAACACCAGCTTGAACTGCGGCTCCATACGCAACGGCTTCGTCGGGATTGATACCTCGACTTGGCTCTTTGCCATCAAAGAATTTCTTGACGAGATCTTGAACTTTGGGAATACGGGTTGAGCCACCAACCAAGACAATTTCGTGAATATCACTCTTCTTCAAGTCAGCATCTTCCAAAACTTTCTTCACTGGTTCCAATGTTGATTTGAATAATTTCTAAAAAAATATGTAGAAAATTATATTACTTGAAACGACAAAATTTTTACACTACACCATACGAAACACGTCACGTGACACATGACAATATATATGAATTTGTGGTACAGAATCGATTCATACAGATGAACGCGAATAACAGAAACACAAATTTCTCATGAAAACTTTACATGCGTAGCAGTGTTTGACTAGACTTTCCATTTTTACTGAGTAAACATGTTCGTATCAGCTACATAGGTATAATAATACAGAAGTCAAGACAACCCTACCATGTTGATTTCCTCGAACTTGGCCCTCGTGAGCGTTTCCGAGAAATCCTCGCCTTCGAAAAATGATTCAATTTCTATCCTGGCTTGATGTTGTGCGCTCAGTGATCTCTTTGCTTTCTCGACTTCCCGACGGAGTTTCTGCAATGCACGGTTGTCTTTGCGAATATCCTTGCCTTTCTTCTTCTTGTACAGCTTGATGAAGTAATCCATCACATTTTGATCAAAGTCTTCACCTCCTATTGGGAAAAAATATAGGTCGTCATCAGTATGGTCTTTTATCTTATACTCTGTTAATTACCATAAAATTATTCATTGGTTTGCGTACAGATATGATTCAATATCATAATCGTCTAGATAAGCTTTTGATTTCTCCTACAAAATATTATGTTGCAACTCAAACTCAATTCAAGGATGGACGCACGATGGTTTTGTAAAAGAAGGGAAAGGGTTTGCTCTAGTTTGGTTAGATTTTAGTGACTTCTTGTTGCCACAGTATGACTTTTTAATAGGTAAATTTTAGAAAGTGTTAGCTTAACGAAAAAACGCAATTGCTTTGCTAATTTTTTGTATATAAGAATTTGTGGAAATCAGCCCCACTTCCCCTAAATTCATCTTTAAGTCCTGCTCCAAATGTTTCTCTATTTAAAACTTGATGAAAACATTTAGTTGTGTCGTCCAGACAGTGAGCACATCAAAAATTACCACCACAAGATCAAAGACAAAGATGTTCTCTCCTTCTTCTTCTCCTCCAAGTATGCAATGGCGGCAGCGGTAGGCTCGTTGATGATCCTCATCACAGTTAGACCAGCAATTGCACCAGCATCCTTTTTGCCTGTCTTTCGCATCATTGAAATGCTTGCGGTACAGTCCGACAGCATGGGTCACTTCTTTCCCAAGTAAGCTTCCGCCAGTTTCCTGATGACAAATGAAGCAATCAATGAGATGCTGACAATGCTAAAGATTGGTTTAAATTTTGAAAGCCAAGCTTGATGCCATTAAACTCATGACTAGGAGACTCTTAGTATTCAAAGTAAAAAAATAAAGAAAAGTTATCATATTTTGACAATGGTTAGCATTAAATGAAGATATGATCTTCGCACTTTGATGGACAATTTAAGTCGAATCCCGTTGAGTCACCTGATTTTTTCAGGTCCTGAGACGATTGCTTAAATTGTCCAGCAAAATCGAAAAGATCATATCTTCATTAATTTCAAACACCGCACTGCATAAAACATTCATAATGGTTAGCATATTGAAATGAAATGAAACTTGAATGCTTTACAATTAGTCAAGCAGACAAAAAAAAAGAGTTAAAGATACTTTTGAAAGAAATATTTTTGCTGTTTGTACGACATTGCTATTACCTTCATCTTGCTCAAGACCATAGCACTGATTTCTTCAGCAGCAAATTCTTTTGTTTCTCCTTTAACATCAAGTTGAACATGTGGCTTGTCGTTCTTTTTGACCAATTTGAAGGGAAAGAATTTCAGATCATGTTGAACTGATGGGTCATCCCAGTTTCGACCAATCAGACGCTTTGCATCGAATACAGTGTTCTCTGGGTTAGAGGTAAGTTGGTTCTTGGCACCATCACCAATTAAACGTTCACCTTCTGGGGTAAATGCCACATATGAAGGTGTGATTCGGTTACCCTGGTCATTTGCAATGATTTCAACACGGCCATTTTTGAATACACCAACACTGAAAAACAGAAGTCCTCCAAATTAATAAGCTTAAGTCAAAAGAACCAGTAAACAATGTATTAATTATTAAAGATTTGCAAACAAATCTTCCTTTACTATGATGGCCAAATCAACGAAATTAAATACCGAACAAATGTTGATCAATGATTGTTTGCTTGCACAAGAAAATATGCCAAGCTCATGAAGCTTGAAATTTTAGGGCAGTTACCAAGTGGACACTACTTTAAAATATGCATATTTCATCGTGAATACCAATATGAATACCACAGGTCAAAAATCAACTTATATCTGTGGGATACCCCTATTGTAACAATATTGAAGTATTTTAGGAATAAGCTTTATTTTTCTATATTAACCAGAAAATTTTCCATCATCGATGCATATGAACGTTATTTCCCAAATAATCAAGTCAATAACAATGACATAATGAGAAAATTGACAAATTCCAATGACTTTAGTCAATAAAAGCTACTAACACCTTACAATCAACGAAATGAAATACCGAACAAATGTTGATCAATGATTGTTTGCTTGCACAAGAAAATATGCCAAGCTCATGAAGCTTGAAATTTTAGGGCAGATTAATCAGTGCAAAATAAAATGACATGTGTCCATGTTGTACTTTCTTGGGTTGAAGCAAAATTGTTTTATTTACACTACAAATATGACACATCAAATAAAAGGAGAAATGATTTTCTTAAAATTTAAAGACAAATTTAAAGTATTCTCAGTTCGTTAGGTAGCAAACTTAAATCCTTTATAGAAATCAAACAGCAGGTAAGGAACTTACTACCAGAAGTATCTAAAACTTGAAACAAGCCTACGAGTACGTTTGGCTCTCATGAGCTGTTATGGACTGGTCAGCATACTTTGAAACTAAAGTCAGATAAATGCTGTGGGTTTTAAAGGTTACAATACACCGAATAGACAAAATTGAAGAGCATAACAAATACAAAACAATTCAGGAAAAGAAGCCAAATTGATATGCTCAACCGTTTTACTACAGTCTCACTATATTAATTTGTCTTTGAATAGAGGGACTGGAAAAAATTTAATCTCACCATGAATAAGTAGTTCCCAAATCAATTCCAATCACAGTTCCCACATCTTTCTTGTCTTTTTCATCCTTTTTTTCCTCACAGTTTACAAACCAAGGGTTGACGGCAAAAGCCAGAAGTATGATTCCAACTACACTTTTCATTTTCAAAAATTCTCGATGTATAATACGGTATTCCTAGTTTTGAAATCTTTACAAAACAACAAGAGGTAGAGTCGTTCAATTCATGAGTAAGTGCAAATTTGCAGCTAGTTTATATCTTCTTCAATTGGCGTGTGATTCGGTCATTGGTCAATTCTATTCCCGTGGCTCAATCTCATTGGTCAACGTTTCATACTTGCGCATCAGAAGAATGCTGACGAATGCATACTACATACAGGGCTATGATGTCGTGGCTCTTTGAACGACGTCCAGCGCATTTCCTGTCCGTCAATTCGTGATGAAATTGACATTTGACAATTTTACGTACAGTGCATTTTATTTGTGATATGAGTAAAGAATGACATTCTTTCGTAAAGATTGCTTAGAAAAACAAAAGAAACAAAAGAAACATCCATACTCCACAAAAACAATCAGTTTAAAAATTTTATAAATTACTGCATTGTCGTGAGCTTTTCTAATCTTCACGTGGAAAAAATTACGAATTGCATTTGTTTCAATCCACAATACTTGAACAAGTTAACTTTTTAAAAAGAGGCAGACTTTGCGATGTTAATATTTAGTAATGTCCAAAAACACATCCCGTGACGTCACATTGCGTAGCAAGTCACCAGAAAATTACAAATAATCTTCAGTTTCCTGGCAAATATTTAATGAAAAGCTTGAGCAGAATTTTATAACTTTAGCAGTTCAAAAAGATGGGAAACATACATGACAATTGAATTTCAATTATGCAATGCTACGTCTCGGTGTAAATTGGAAATGGCAAAAACCTATGTCTCCTAAATGAGGAGACATTAATAACTGTTTTTAAGAAAGCCCAAAGCTACTTCAAAAGTTCAGCTACTTGAATATAATTTAAATTGCATATAATTAACTTTCATTTCATGGTTCTTTAAAACTTTTTTCTTGCTGAGCAATCAGCCCCTTTTCATTTTATAGGCACTTCACTCACAATGAAAACAAAGCATTTATACGTAGACTACTTCAGTGACTTTAATGCTAATTATATGTATATAAAATCTTATTACGATAACTTTGAATAAACAAGAATGCAATTGTACTTGTATGACGGTGTATCAAATCAAAAAATCTTCTGAAGGTTATTTGTCCTCAAGGGGGACGTCTGACTATTGAAAACACGACAGTTGACTGGGTAAACCACAAAAACAAAGGGACTCAATAGACCATGACCTTGACATTAAATAAGAGTGGTCTTTATTCACGTGTGTCATATAAGTCAGAAATGTGTTAAGTGAAAATCTGTGTCCTAGAGTAAGAAAAATTAAATATATTCTATTCTTATAACATGGCAGTCATGCTTTGGCCATTTGATTTTAGGAAAAATTACTCCGATTTGCACTGAAAATAGAACAGTTCATGATACGAAAAATGTTAAAAATCATATTAATTCGATGGTTGAAAAGGAATGCGTTGAAAATAGAAAAAATAGACGAGATAGACTGCAAATGACCTAGTGGCGTGACATTTTGGAACATCAAAGAAACCATCTTATTGGAAAAATTAGGATTTGATCCCCATAAAATTTCTTACATTTGAACATTCCAGAGGAAAAGTTGGATATTTGGCTTTCTTAGCCGTAAGGTATGTTTCAACGTAAACATTTTAGACTTTTTAAGCATTAATACTTTGTACTCTATAACATACACGTATAAAAACCAACTTTGTCGCAATTGGACGAGCTCTGCACAAGTTAATGAAATTTGTTAAACTTGATCAAAAATTCGCTAGTCCAGTTCCTGCAAAAACGCGTATGCAAATACAGCCACGCGTACTAAATGAATCCTGGAGCAAAAGACCATAGAACAACAATTTTTGACTTCTTTATTTCAGAGTAATTAGATGCTATAATAACAAACTTCGTCCTTCTTAAAATGATAACTACCCAATCATCTACAGATACTGTTCACACAATGTCGATCTTCCGTGAGTGAAAGGACAGCAGAATAGTAAACTTCGTCCTAAAACTATCCTAAAAGAAACATCAACAAAACTATCAATTCACCATTAGAAACAGAAAATTGCGTCATAAGAAGAATTAGCCTCAGAGATCTTGGTGGTTACTGATCATTTTCGTTAATCAAGAGTAGCAAATATTAGATTACATCATCGGCAAAACACAACATGCAGATAAGAATATTACACGTTACCAATGACGTCATCATCCCTCGTTGCCAATGATATCACACTTTGGTTTGGAATTGAATACGCCTACAACAAGTATCAAAAATAAAACAATAGAATAGTTCTTCCCCAAAAAGCAATGAATATTCAATATGTTGAAGCCACTTGCATCAGATGTGATCAATTAAACACAGAATGTTTTGAATCATACAAAATATCATATGTCCCTATTCTGAGGTCATCATTTGCAAGTAGTTGGAGCTGAACAACACTTTGTTATACAGCTTAATCTAGTCGTATGAAGTACGCGTTATTGAAAAAGTCGCGAAATTTACATCAGAATTTCTTTCGCAAGAGAGATAGTTGCCAAGCTAAGTTTTAAACTAGGATGTTAAGATATGTTTTACCGAGTATAAAATTACTGAGTAGTAAATCGCTTCGTGACCATGCTCAAAAATCGATGAAACATTGATTGACCAGCAGACAATTCACCCACACAAACTAGATGAAGATATCATGCACAGTGCAAATGCATGGCCGAAAACGCACTGAGAGTAGGAGTTTAAATTGCGAAACAAATAAGTTCCTTTATTTTCCTCAACTAGTCACAAAATGTGCAACTCAACAATTACTGATTGACCCTTTAGGAGGCATGGTGTTTCGTTAAATCTTGTGGTTTTTAATGTAGAGGGTAACAATGGTAGTCTCAAACATACAATCAATCGTTTACCATTTGAAAAACATTCACAGTAATTTCCTTATTAAAGTCTCAAGCTCCTGCAAATGCAGACTGCACTTACCCTCTTTGCAATTGTATATCATTAATTGTTAAACAAGACTCTTTCACCTAAGACAAAGTAAACTAAGATAAATACGCGAGATCGATTTTTGCACATGTATATGACTTGTTTCAATAAATGGAATCAGATAGAGCTAATGTGTCATCAGAAGTAGATAAACTTCAGGTGAACTATGCACTTTGGTCATCACTTTCCAACAAATTGAGAGAGCTAGTCCAATGGGGAAATTTTTTAAAGACATGTATCGGATTTAAAAAGTTCCAAGTAATTGTGTTATGTTAGAAATTGGCAAAATATCTTCGAATGTGGATTTAAGCTTCAAAAAGATAACGTTCAGCCCAAGGTTTCTCACCGCCGTTAAAATTCACGACGTTGTATGTCCGAAGTTTTTGAACCAGAATGCCAGAATCATTCACATATTAAGAAATTTGCAAATTTTAAAGATTTGAGTGGTTTAGAGAAGGCCTTGTTCATCTACTAAAAAAAGACGTCATGGCAATTTTGACAATCTTAGTAATTTTCATTTTTTAATCCATATTTAAATTTATGAGTGACATAACGATTTGTCACCAGTTGTTATATAACACAAATTGATGTACACATGGCTGAGCATAAGATCTCCTAAATGTTTTTTCGTTAAAAACAACCGTTCGTTGCATATCAACATTTAGGAAAAATTTCATTGAAACAATGTTAATAAGAGCGCGAACAGAAACATTTGTAATCACACAATCAACAAGTTGGTGGTTGGCAACAAATTCGCCAAAGTTTTTACTTACATTAGAACTATCGCACTGGGAGCCGTGAGTGCCGGTTGTCCAGAAGCTGACGTTTTTGGCAACAATAAGGTGAAATATGACCATCTTGCCCAATATTGAAACATCGCATTGAGCGCTGGTCACGTCGTTCACTTGGATGACTGACTTTAGTTTCCCGGAGTAGTTCCTCCGATAAATTTTGTTTCTCTTCAATGCCAGCGACCATTTGATACTAATTGAGAAAGTTGTTTGTCATCACTTGATGTGGAGCAGTTTTTAGTAGCGGTAACATTGATGGTAGGAAACAGACTAGAATAGCCTTCAACTGCACGATAACAGAGCGCGATGTCAACCGTTTGGTTCACGTTGGCTTTCAAGAAGTTGTTATTTTATTGTAGATGACAACCGAGAAGCACTATAAAAAAGATAACACATGCTTTTAATAAGCCTGCCTTTGGTCATAGTCCACACCTAATTTCAGTATTGATAATATAAATATTGGTAAAAGAGGTGAGCAACGAGATTCTTGAACCAGAATCATTTCTGTTATTGTCTTGGCATGCTGAATTACATTGAAAGTCATAGATCTGTGTTATCTAATCTTGACATCGTACATATTGTTGTACTTTAGGCTTGCAGCAATCAGTAGAAAATACAGAATCAGGTAAAGAATTATAACTGCCAATTTTAAATTGAAAATACCTGTATAACAATGCCATTGGCTGTCAAGCTCAAAAGAAAATTAACGAATGGACGAGCTATATTACTAAATTATTTTACCTGCAGCTGGATCCCCCCATATGCTGGCTATTGTCACGTTGGTGGTCTCCTTAGAACTAAAGCTTATAAATTAAGCTCTAACATGCATTCATCATTGATTTACAAATCCTCTGATTGATATAATTGATTGAACTCAGATTTGTTTGCAAAAACTAATGCAAACTCAAGACAATGCGATAGACAATCAGAAAGTGCATTTTATTGTTTTATTTTTTTAATAAATCATTTCAAAAGCCTTTTGGTGCGTTTACAAAGGATACACAAGCATCAGACCTATCGATCACAATCAACCAGGAAATGATCCTGTCTTGAGAGAATTTAGTCATCACTTGCTATGTGTTGGAGTCAAAGTAACAGGTAAGTATGAAAATTTTATCAGCAAAAAAAGGTAACTACAAGTTACATTTTTTGATGGCTAATTGAAATAAATTCATATGAAATTGCAAAAGGCAACATTATCAACAATATTTGAAGTCACATTTTCCACCAACAGTTCCAAAAAACTTCAAAATTCATTCTTCAAGTTCATTTCATTGTTTCCCATTTGAAATTTTGTAAGCACTTTGTATAACATTTCTTTGAAGAAGATTTCAAGCAGTTAAAAAATTGGGGTTCACAATAAGGTTGGAAGCACCCTAATCATAAACATAACTATTACTTCATATAAAAAAACTGCAGGGAGCTGCAGCAGCCAATGCACTACACCAATTTACAATCAAGCTCACATGAGTTTGTGAAGAAATGTTCTGTCTTCTTTGTTCCCAAGACGGCAGAAAATAACACATAAATATATCATAATATTACAAAAACCCACCCTACGTAAATCAGAATATGGCAATCTAACAACATTTAAAAAAAGATAATTCCGAAGGGATATTCAAATTTAACACTACACAAACCGGGGTAATGTGGGTACAAAACAATTTCATGTTGTCATTGAGTTTCATTTTCATATACGTACCATCACTGTCCACAACATCTCCTCCTGTCGATGGTCATCACCAAAGGGTCCTCTAGCTCAGTTATCAATAAGAAGAAAAAACACACTTGCTTAAAATAAGCATCCTAGCACCTCCATTGAACATGTCTTTTGAAAACCCCAAGGCCAAAATCTAAATAAAATAGCATCTTGAACAAAATCCAAAAAACAAAGTGCTGCCATTCTACATTGTTCGATTTAAATAAATATTGCCACCTCAGATCTTGGTGGTAACTTTTTTTCATTATTCACTCAAATAGCAAATATTGATTCACATCATTGGCAGCAATATTATCAAAAGCCAATTAAATTTACTACTAAAACATGGTAACTGTTTGAAATAAAATTTGTATGGCAGCATTTCATACCATTAGTTGTATTTTGTGCTAAAGCATAGTCTTTTGTCGTAATAACTTAAGTTTATATTAAGATTATTTGATGTAGTAATATTTTCTGTATTTCTCATTACTTTGTTGTATCAAAGTTCAAAATATGTGGCTTAATGAGAAAAACCCATTTTGTGGGTGACACATGGCAGGAAACTAGCCTTTGCACCTTTGAGGATTGTGGAAATCTAAAACAGCTTATGTTTTCCGAAGTTAGCCGAATTTATCGATTATATCAATATGCTTGGCTTGGAGCTAGGAATAATAGCAAGAGAATTCCACAGCAGAATAGCCAGAAGTTAAGACTACTTTGCAACACCTTCGATTCAAACATATCATTTGTGGTAGTTTGTTCATCGCTTAATTCACCAACGCTTTCAGTAGATTCACCATTATCACATGCGTACGTCAATATTTCAACCATGTGCAATCATAGCGTTAGCACATGTTAAGGCAGTATTGTCTTAACACCATTTTATTTCATTATCAAACTTTAAAAAAATTTACATCAAAGAAATTAAATCACCTACCTCAAATCGAAATTTCATACATTATCGTTCATCAATACACTGTCTGTCCCAATAATTCTTTGCATGTACTACAAAACATACTTTTCTTACCGACCCTAATTTTTCACCCACCAAACGGCCATCCAGAGTAAATCATTTGCAATCCGTTCACGCAGTATCGTAAATACTCCATTTCATTAAACTCCCACAGTTTTAAAAAAGAAATGCTATGAAAATATGATATAAAATATAAACAAAATGTCGAAGTTGTACTAGGTCACCTTCTCCACCCCAAGCATACAGACAGGCAACGTGACAAACGCTGGGGTACCGCGTGGCTTGAGAATAAATATAAAACCTTCTATCACGTGACTTTTCAGGTCACGTGCAGCAAAAAACCCAGTGCAAATTTTCCTTAGGTAGACAAAATTTTCTTAAAAAAAATCGAGACGATGGAACCGAGAACCAATTCTTACATAAATACATGGTAACAGCCGCCATAAGCTCTCAAAATAATCGTTCATTTGATTCTACGACAGTAAGAAATGATTTCTTTCTTTGCCTGAAGTCAAAACCGGTCAAAACTCAAAAGCAAAACACCATGGTCATTGTTTGCGATGTCTGAGTGGCTTTGCTTTTTAAAGAATAGGTCCGCGCGTACACATAGGTAACAGGAAAATAATGGTAGTTACTTTATCCTTAGATATGATTATCTATGCTTAACTGAGCAAGTAATGTATTAATTTTCTCAGTGAACTCGCCATTAAATGCCTATGTGAACAAAGATTGTAATGAATTTCAGGTAAAGACTTTTTAACCCGTATTTCACGACGCGAAAATGCCGTTGCGGTAGCGTATTCGGGTTTAACGTTTCTCGAGCCAAGGAATTCATTGGCGCCGCTGGTATGGGTGATGCTCTTCGTACTTTTGTGAGAGAATCAATGATTGAGTTGAGTTTAAAGAACCAGCAGAGTTTTGGCACGCATATAAAACATAACTACCTTGCCAATGACCTTCGTTTTGCACTTTTCAAAGGTTGCTACTGTAATCCCATATGATATATTTTGTATTGTTTCTCAACTGACCAGAATGAATAAATTTCTCTGGCTTTTCATATTAAAAACGTAATTACTCCTCCCTATCCGAATCACATCGACTCATTGATGAACAAAGATGTTGTTGAGGTCACAAAAAATTGCACTGACAATGAGCAAGTGAAAGAAGTGAGCGAAGAAAATGGTAAATGAAGCAATGAAATTAAAAAAGTAATGTAATGGATAAAAGTAATAATTTGGATATTTTTTTGCATTTAGCAGTTGAAACAATGATTGACGGTTTACAAAATGTTGAGCGCAACAATATTTTTATTTAGAACGATCCTCTTGTGAACTCTACAAACGGTAAAGGAAAAACGCATTAAACACTCTGATATGTGATAATTTTGTTCTTTCTCATTAAAATACTCTTGTAGATCAAACCGTGCTTGTTGAAGTAAGTGGAGAGGTTAAAGACATCGTCCAGGACAGTGCACGGCAGGAATTTTTGGAAGAAAAAAAGGTAAATAAAAAAGCAACTTATGCAAGTAATGAATTAAGAACTGCAAGTTTAGTGTAGAAAAATAGAAAATACATATTTTTGTTGTGATTTCAGAAAAAAGATCTAGAAGGAGAAAAACATGCGTGCTCGAAGATTCTTTAAGAAAGTACTACACGCCTAAATACCCAAGAAGAAAAAAGTAAATCGCAACCATTTGTGGAGTCGTTCATTCATCTGGGTTCCTGCTTTAAATGGTATATCACTGCAACAACCTTTCCTGATATGCACACGCAATTTTCTTATTGAGTCCATAGATACTGTAAAAATAACTAAGACAACAGTTCTAAAAACAAATCTCTAAAGAACGAAAAACATGGGAAAATAATTTATTCAAATACTTATTAAGATTTCTGTAATGTTATTAAAAAAATCACACAGATTTAACTGGAATTTTTTAACGTTGGCAACTCCCCAAAAAAATTTTGAAAACTGTACCATTTGAAATGGGATTTCACGCGTTTTAGCAACCGCATCAGCCAATTTACTAACAATTCTTAATTCCCTGAAAGTGCATCAACTCTTTGGCAAAAACATAATTAGCAAAAAAAAATAGATTGCATCCACACAAAATCGGCATCTACAAAGGCTGTTTCGCCTATTTTCTGAGCTCATCACCATGGCTAGGAACATAAGAATCACAACGAAACTATGCAAGTCCGACATTGACAGAGTCTAGTATTTGAGTGATTTGATAATTACATACATAGCTCATGCATATGACTCATCCTCACATGTGACATGTTAGGACAGGATTAACCATATGGCAGAAGGGGCGTCCACCCACAAGGCCCGCCGCTTTACTCAGTTCTAATTTTTTTCGGCGCGTTGGTAGAGTAGGTGGACGAGGATGAACGAAACATACTCTGATGATACACAACGAAAGATGACAATGATGTCGCAATTACGTGGATTAATTGAAATTGTGCATGTCCAGACCTCTTCTGGAGAACAATCTGGAAACTGTATTTCCGAACACTGTAATTGCACTGAGGATCTATCTTAGTCTTATGATCTCAAACTGTTCTGGAGAGCTGTCCTTTTCAAAACTTTTAAGCTAATCAAGAATAAGCTCTGATCATGTATGACACAGAAGCGATTAAACAGCTCTGTTCTACGTAGCATCGAAAATGATCTGCTTTGTATAATTGATATGTCGTCATAATTAACGAGTTTGCTGTAAAGAAATCCCGCAAACACAACATTCACAAAGCAAAATGAGATTTTAGTAAAACTTATGTTACTTTACTTACACGTACATTTTACATACGGTCGAGCGAGCATGCATCGCCGACTCATTGAAATAAGTTGGATAGGATGAGAATTCAAAATTTCAAATTCATGTACATACATTCTTATTTTAAATTTTTAACAAACAGATATTTTTGCAAATCATGGTCTACAAATTACTTTCTAATCTTTCTGACTTCAGGACAACCTGAATTTCAACTCGCCAGGGGGGGGGGAAGAAGGCCCTGCCAAAAGTTAACTCGGCCTTGTGACATGTAAACACAGTTAGTGTTTGAGCGATTTGGTGATACTATGGCTCATGTCAGTCAATATGTGTGACATGTAGGTGTACAAAGCTAAGTATTTGGGAGATTTATTAATGATAAGCCTCATTCAACAGAAATACACATGGATCATGATATATGAAGTCATGATGACTATAACAAATTTTGTTGTAAATTTTGAACAACATTGATCAACCACACAAGCAATCTCACAGTCAGAATGAAGGCAAACTTTTCAGCGCAATTATGCTGTTCATTCATTATATTTATTATTTTACAGTCACAAATCAACTCCAACTATATATAATTAAATGCTATACTCGATTATTTATGTGTACTGTAGTTGCTTACGAGCTAGTAAAGCAAAGTGTCTTGCGTCCCCTGAAATATACCACAATGCAACGTGCGCTGTTAACTAGTACTAGTCTTCGAAGTGTAATTATCATCTCCGAAACGGCGAATCCGGTACGAAAAGTAATCAGGTATGAAGCCAATCCGGTATCGTGTGAACAGGGCCTAAATGTTTGTAGTTGTTGATCGTTCTGGTAGAGCACTCTTGACGAAAAGGATTGTTGGCGTCATTATTGATTGACGTTTCGACGCCCTCGGCCAGAAGTTAGCTGTACTCATCTTCAGAGTCAATTGAAATTTACCTTTCATTTACTCTCTTTAACTCCTACAGAGCCACAAAGCTGATACTGACCATACATTGTCACCTCTTTGTTGACGTCTTCATTTTACGGCATCTAAGGGAGCGGACGTATGGGTGGTCAAACCAGTCTGTTTACTCGCGTAAAATTAGCGCTGGAGAATAATGTAAAAATAAGTCCATTTTATTACTTTATTGCATTGGTATGAGGCAGCATTACTAACGCTCATTAAAGCTATCTTAAAAAAGTTATGATGGCAAGTGTGCATTGTATGCATGCTCGTGAGCAATGATAATGGGAGACACAGTCTATCTGATCAGTTTCCTTAAACTTTAGGGAGGAAAATATGTTGGTGATAACTTATAGATATATTTAAAATCCACTCGTGAGCTTTCCCAAATCGCATGAAATCGCATTCAGAGACTCAAAGCCTACATGACTCAAGTTTAAAAATTCCTTCTTCTTTATTCAATTATAATCACATTTAAATCTGCAGTGTAACTAATAACGAGGCTCAAACCATATATTTTACGCTATTTATCAACATTTTTGTTTCAACAAAGTTAGGATGCTCGGGCTAATAAGAAACAAATTATGTCTTATTATATATTCCTATACCATAATAATACAAAAGACTTAAAAGTCTAAACGTTTTAGAACAATTAAACAACATATAGAACTTAACTTTTACAACTTTTTTGATAAATAATTTTATATCAGTAACGGAGGATCAAGGGTACGTCAAAATAAATCATACCCATGCTCGATTTTGCACATATATTTACATATCTAAGCACCTTAGATGCAACTCCATTGATAAAATCTTATTTTGTAGAAATTCATCACCAACTATAATAGTTCGTTTTGAAAGTATTTTGAATATATAGGTATATGATTTATTTTGACCAAAGTCTCTTTTTCCATCTTGTCAATTAGCACAACGTCATGCTGGCACCCTACGAATGAACAGAAGACCGAACCAAAAAGGTATATATTTCCTGCCACCGTAAACATTCTTCAACGCGTCGTTTTTGCCTATTTGACAAAAAAAGATCATTATGAGTTGGGTGTTCCATCTTTTCGCCTAAATTACGTAGAACGTATTCGAAAAAAATCATTTACAAAATACGACTATTTAATTTAACAATAAGGAGCGCAGCAACAGTGACGATAATTAGCCGGGGGGTGATATTCATACATGCATGCAATGATCAATGGCTACAATTCGTTTATGAGTACCCCCAATCATCAAGCTAGCTGCGCCTTTGCACAGTAACTTTGGTGAAGCATGTAGCGCGTTACCTTCTATTAGAGTACATAAGTAAATGATACGTTCTTGGGTGATATCTAGCATGTTATTGACGAAGTTGAAAAAATAACTATGTAAACAAATTTTACGTTTTAAAGTAATTGATAAGTGCGGAACCGGTTATAAACCGGCAAACTAATCAATTTGACGCAACGAAATTGAGGTCTCACTAAATGAGCGCAGTAATTGATTTACTTACCATGATGTGAGGAAGCATTAATTGTCATCACTTCCAACTCTCTAATATTGATACTGTGTAGATAATTGTCCAAATTACAATGAAAATAATTTTCGAGTAACCCATAGCTGAAAAAACGTTGATCCAAATATAATTAATAAATATTGTTCGTTAAACGTAAACAAACACACAAACAATAAACAAACATACAAACAAACAATTATCAGTACTAGCAATCCCATTTCGTGCCACGAAAAACTGTTATTGGGATTTATGAGCAAGAAAATTGATTTTTACGGAACTATTTTTGTCATCTTATATAGATGTTGAGTTTATCAACTGTTTTATACTGAACACATCTTTCACAATAAAATTTAACTGCAATATATGTGGGAGTATGGGTCGAATGCAGTTTGTAGACACATTATGTCGCTGATCAGTTGAAAATAACTATACGCTCCAGAAAACCAAAAAAGGCAAACTAGATTTAGTTGATCACTTAGATTTAATATAAAATTTCGAAAGTGTGACAGTGAAGGACGACCTGGAAGGAGATTGCGATTTTAGGAACAGAGTTCGATTGATTTTCGACCGAAAAGTTTTGTGAATCGCCAGCAGCAGCGGTGAATGATCATGCAAGTCTATAATCTCTAGCATGATTTCAAATACTGCCTGAGTTCAGCGACGAATCATATTTGAAATAATCGTCTACAGCTCATTAAATTACAACTTCCAATGCAATATAATGAAATTACATTGATCGAGTTCCTAGAAAAGGATTGCGATGGTAGGAACACAGTTCGATTGATTTTCGCCCGAAAACGTTGTTGAATTGCTAGCAGCAGCGGTAAATGATCATGCAAGCCTACAAACTCTCTGTTACATTATGAGCAGGATTTCTAATAATATCAGAAAACAAATCCTGTGTGCGTAATTGTCTGCAGCCTCAATACATTAATCAGGGTTAAATAAAAGAAAAATCTCACCATGTATGTGAAATTCCCACTTCATTACCGATGACAGTTCCCAGTTCTTTGTCTTTTCGACGCTTTTGTCTGCCCTAATAACAAGACGAAGGTAAGGACGATAGTGAGTGAAATTGTTGCCGTTTTTCTCATTTTATATTCTCGATACTTCTTCATATAGCAGTGAATTTAGTCATAAAAACTTGACAAAAGACAAAACTGATCTGATTCTTTTTCTTGTTAGTCGATCTGATAAATTTTATCAAATGGACGTGTAGTCTTGTGACTGGTCAAAAAAATAGTAACAAAGGAAATGCAGACAATGCTGTAAGGGAATGCACCTAAAGCGGACAAAAATAACGATATTAGTCCGTGCGAAGGAAACCACAGAATCAACAGAGTAATAATGTAGAGAAAATCACATCATCACTTTTTTTGTAAGTCCTTGAAATTTTGAAATTTCCTCTATTTCATAAAAATGCTATGCCTCAAATAAGCACGAATAGTGAAATCGCGCCACGATGAGTAAACCTACAATTGAGCAGCCCAATTTAATTGGCAGAGACGGCTTTATGAAATTGAGCCTGGCTTCATGAAATTGAAACAACGAACTGTTCAAAGGCGTAACGTTATAATACATGCATGTTCTAGTGCATCAATGAAGCAGATATGGAACAACAATCTACCATTAGTAAATGGGTTAGCGATTGATCAGAGAACGTATATTGTGTTAGGGTTTTTCTGAACTCTCACATCGTATGGCTAAACAAGTTCGATTAATAAGATGAAAAGAAAAAATCTCACCAAATAGTTGAGTTTCCCGCGACATTTTCCACGTCTTCTCTATCTTTTACTTTTGCAGCGTCAGCAAGACAAAAAATGCAGACAAAAGTCAGAGCAGTGGTTGAAATTACTTCTTTCTTCATTCAAAAAATTCTCAAGATCTGTATGAATACAGAGGTATATCTTTTCATAACAACCTGACAAAAACTACAAAATTCCATTTATGTGCAGTTATGGTTGGTCATATTTATACCTTATCAAAAGAATGCTGAAAACGTTCAAATATGTTGATGAGATGCAAAAACTGGAAAGGGAATTCCCCACAACTGACGACATTTCACTCTACTGGTGCAGGAACGTATGAACACATGCAGAATCTAAAGAAGACTAATGTATGGAAAATTATCACCATCACTTGTTTGCCTATGCCCTTGTTATTTTTAAACTTCCTAATTTCACCACAACGCTCGCTGATCATTTAAGCAAAATAGTGAAATTGCAGGGGGGATTCTAAGTATTTTGCTTAGTAATGGGGAATTCTGATAACATTAGATCATACAGTGTTTAAAGTTCTTTACGTAAGATTATTTAAGCCTTGGTTATGCTCATGAGTCATCTGTCACGAGGCATGACGAGGCTCCAGCCTGACACGTATACATGTGTGAGGTATCTACGACCATCAAAAAAAAAGATGAATGCAACTTTTACGCTCTGCAACTTAAACAATATTCGATGACTTTGGGTAATTCTTATACTTGCGTATTCTTTAACATAAGATCTTTCGAATGACAAATCTTTTGTGGCAGTTTGTAAAAACGAGTGAACACGGCTCTAATGAAAATGATCGAAATTGAATAGTTCCACCACTGAGATGGGACTTGAGTCATAAGCTATAAAAAAAAAACATCCTACAAGATGGGTATACGTGCAGTATGGGTCAACTAAGGCCCCTCTTACACTATACCGTATTGCTATCGTAGCAGGTTGAATATTCTTTGTATTAAAAGGCGGGGAAATTGTTCAACGCCAGAAACACAATCAAATAGACTAAATCTATCAGCTTAATAAGCTTTTACTCCGAACAGTTAACCCTATAAAGCAAATGAAGATGTCGTGATGAGCAAATCCGGTATAGTGTAAACGCAGCCTAAGCTACATCTAAACAATGCATTTAACATGAAAAGAATTTATCAAATGAGATAAAAGGTCAAGTTCATAATTTACATAAAGAAAATAAACACGAATAGCCAATTTTTTTGATTTGCACTTTTCTTTATAATAATTGTAAGACACTGTCTAAACGCAGCTTCGGCTCTTTTGGTGGTAATACGCAATTTTATGGCATTTCTACTTGACTTTCAATCACTCGTTTTTGCAATAACTGCAACAAAAGCATATAGCGTTCGATCATACATATGTCGACGTACAATACATGCTTGTAACTTGTATGATCATAATAAATGTCATGAGACCATGGATTAAATAACAATGAACAATAAGAATTGTGACAAAAATTTGCAAGCCAAGCGAAATATCATAGAGTACATGTAATTGTCATCATGGACATTGTTAATGTCTCCTTCCACAACATATAGCTTCGGATAATGACCTATTTTCATAGACTAACTATATGCTTCTCAATGAGAAATGTCTCTTTATAAAATAATTTAACTAGTTTTGTAAAGCTACTATCTGAGTTAAGCGACGAATCATATTTTAAATACTCGTCTATTTAGTTCACTAAATCACAGCGAACGACGTCCTGGATTGCGATGTTAGGAACACAGTTCGATTAATTTTCGACCGAAAAATTTCGTGAATCGCCAACAGCAGCTTTGAATGATCATGCAATCTATAATCTCTATCTGTTACATTATGAGCATGTATTCAAGTACAATCAGCTTTCGTCTTCCTGTAAGTCTTCCCCCCTGTAAGAAGCAAAGACCCAAGTTCAAAAACTTGATGATCTCAATTTGGGCTGCCTAAAATGTGCTCGCCAGTTTTTACACAACTTAGCAATAAAATAAGCGACCACTTTACATGGAAACTGTTCAAGTCTTCGACGAAAAAAGACAAAATTCGTCGTTAAAGTGCGTGATTTTGTGCTCAAATCGGAAGTCATGACATTATCGTGTCTCTTTAGCCGGGTCTCCTATCGAGTCTAGATGTCTGAACCTCTGGATTGACGAAGGATTAAAAACACCAGCATTAAGCTTTTCGTACAATGCAAAGGAGTCATGTTATTAAAAATACCCTGAAGAGACAGTAACTTCGGCAAAGTATAGCAAAATATATGAATACCGCTTCAATTTTCGAATCCAGCATGGCAAAAAACTCTACTTGAGACTGGGTCCGAGTGCTGAAAGAAAAAATAGAAGAGAAAATTAAAAGGTGCATCCGATAAATTCGAGAAATTTTACGAATCAAACACAGAAAATGAAACTAGTAGCTAATTAAGAAGATGAAACTGAAACTTGTAGCGTGAAAACGAAACTGGTAGCTAATTAACATAGCGGAAACTGGCGAACTTGGTACAGGAAAGGTGACAAATTCCCTCAATATACAAAACAACTAAGCAAAAGTAAATGTGAATAGCGTTTAATGGAGCAAAATTTCAAAAATCTCCCAACCATAACAAAAAGTTAACAGAATTTGCCGATTTGACAAAAAGCGTCTAACAAGACGTGACAAAAAGTAGCAAACTGAAATTTAACGTTAACTACATAAAACACCCCACTCCAAAAAAAACCCAGCTTTGATACATTTTTGTTGGAGACGAAATTCCTTCACGTTATTCTAAAGAGAGATTTCGTTTGCAAATAATATAATTGCTTTGATTACGAATGATTTCTGACGCACTATATCTTTTATTGAATAAGAGATCTGGCTATCATGATCTACGAATACATTTTCTGTGTTTGAGAACAATTTGAATGAAGACGACGAATTCATTCATGTTTGAATACCTTGGTCTGTTCTTCACTATAACTGGACTTATATGATTCTGTCAAAAGAAACGAAAGTAAGAACTAACAAATAGACACCGGGAAGTTGCATCAAAGTATTAATTTTGTCGTGTGTCACCCGTTCCTTTCAAAGAAACGCGCGCATCACGTGGGAAAGTTTCGGGGGGGGATAGTAACGTCAGTCTGGAAAAGTGGCAAAATGTTGACTCTAAAGTTTCAATTTTCGAAAAGTAATGTCTTACATTTATTTATCCCAGGAATGTTGCCAATATGTTTCGCTCCATTACTGAAGTTTTCGTAATTTGGCAAGACGCTCGGACTCGATTCTAGAAAATCAACACTTTCCTTAACTGCACGTCTATATTAGCCCTAAAGTCTTTCTTAATGATCTATTATCTATCCTTTTATGGAAAAACCATAATAATAATATTTTTGGAAAAATTTATGAACGATAACATCTTGAAAAAATTTTATACAGCAAGACCTACTTGCATTAAACAACCCTCGCTGCAAATGCCGCTTAGTCAGTGGCAGCCCCCTTCCCCCCAAAAAAATATTAATAGGAGTGGGAGTTGGTGTGGAGAGCTTTGCATATTATTTCAGAAAGAAATTTCAACTTCGTAAGTAATATTTCGAGAAATTACGAAAAATTAAATTTCTTTTAACGAGTTTCAAAGTTTTACTCGAAAAAACTGCGCGAATTTCGAAGTTAGATGTGTGAACTTCGTATCAATATACAGTTAGTAATCAATATACTGTGTGAACTACCTGTCAATATACAGTTGATAGTCATTATTGTGTGTGAACTATGTGTCAATATACAGTTAGTAGTCAATATACTGTGTGAACTTCGTGTCAATATACAGTTAGTAGTCAATATATTGTGTGAACTTTGTATCAATATACAGTTAGTAGTCAATATACTGTGTGAACTTTGTGTCAATATACAGTTAGTAGTCAATATACTGTGTGAACTATGTGTCAATATACAGTTAGTAGTCAATATATTGGGTGAACTTTGTGTCAATATACAGTTAGTAGTCAATATACTGTGTGAACTACCTGTCAATATACAGTTAGTAATCAGTATACTGTGTGAACTACCTGTCAATATACAGTTTATAGTCATTATACTGTGTGAACTATGTGTCAATATACAGTTAGTACTCAATATACTATGTTAACTTTGTGTCAATATACAGTTAGTAGTCAATATACTGTGTGAACTTTGTGTCAATATACAGTTAGTAGTCAATATACTGTGTGAACTTTGTGTCAATATACAGTTAGTAGTCAATATATTGTGTGAACTTTGTGTCAATATACAGTTAGTAGTCAATATACTGTGTGAACTACCTGTCAATATACAGTTAGTAATCAATATACTGTGTGAATGTGTGAACTACCTGTCAATATACAGTTTATAGTCATTATACTGTGTGAACTATGTGTCAATATACAGTTAGTAGTCAATATACTGTGTGAACTTTGTGTCAATATACAGTTAGTAGTCAATATATTGTGTGAAGTTAGTGTCAATATACAGTTAGTAGTCAATATACTGTGTGAACTTTGTGTCAATATACAGTTAGTAGTCAATATATTGTGTGAAATTTGTGTCAATATACAGTTAGTAGTCAATATACTGTGTGAACTACCTGTCAATATACAGTTAGTAATCAATATACTGTGTGAACTACCTGTCAATATACAGTTGATAGTCATTATACTGTGTGAACTTTGTGTCAATATACAGTTAGTAGTCAATATACTGTGTAAACTTTGTGTCAATATACAGTTAGTAGTCAATATACTGTGTGAACTTTGTGTCAATAAACAGTTAGTAGTCAATATATTGTGTGAACTTTGTGTCAATATATAGTAGTCAATATACTGTGTGAACTTTGTGTCAATATACAGTTAGTAGTCAATATACTGAGTGAACTTTGTGTCAATATACAGTTAGTAGTAAATATATTGTGTGAACTTTGTGTCAATATACAGTTAGTAGTCAATATACTGTGTGAACTTTGTGTCAATATACAGTTAGTAGTCAATATATTGTGTGAACTTTGTGTCAATATACAGTTAGTAGTCAATATACTGTGTGAACTTTGTGTCAATATACAGTTAGTAGTCAATATATTGTGTGAACTTTGTGTCAATATACAGTTAGTAATCAATATACTGTGTGAAAACCTGTCAATATACAGTTAGTAGTCAATATACTGTGTGAACTTTGTGTCAATATACAGTTAGTAGTCAATATATTGTGTGAACTTTGTGTCAATATACAGTTAGTACTCAATATATTGTGTGAACTTTGTGTCAATATACAGTTAGTAGTCAATATACTGTGTGAACTAGCTGTCAATATACAGTTAGTAATCAATATACTGTA